CGCATCACAGTTGTCATCAACTATCCTGGCGTAGGTGTAGACAAAAGGGGGTGGACTGGATTCGGGAGACCGAAAAAACACCATGGTGACTACATTGGTTGCGACACAGTGTGGGATGCAAGTGCACTGCTCCAAACAGTACTCAGGCCAAGAGAAAAAATGCAGCAAGAAGCGTCGTCGTCGTGAGCTAACCCAGTATGTATATATATATAATTACGTAGTTACAGTTGCAGTAGCTAGATTTCGGAGATCGAGAGCGCAAACTGCATCTGGTTTGCCTACCCACACCCTCTCCTCTTCAGGCCCTGCTTAGGCTCGCCGTCAGAGGTTTGACTCCTCTTCTTTGCCTGCTTTTTGCCGCCCATGGGGGCCTCATAAGTCTTGTGCGGAGAGATATGTGATCCTTCTCCACTTGCAGGAGCTAGCTCTCGCAATGAGAGAAGTGATTCTCCGGAAGCTCTTCCTCTGTCATCACTTGGCTCATCCTGTCAACTTCACAACATGCTGAAACCGTAGCCTAATCACTCATCACAAACCACACACCTCGTGCAGTCCAGGCGATGCGGGCGGTGATAGGGGCTGTGATCCAGGGAGGCTGAAGGCGGGGCCGATGCTTTCGGAGCTGCAAAACGCTTCGTTCGCCCTGGTGAACATCCGAAAGGCTCGGCAAGCACACATGTATATATCCACACAAATGCGTTTGTTGGGTATTCGTTGGTGCGGGGATCCCGCACAAAATCAAAGAGGGCATTTGGTTGAGGATGATCTTGATTCATCTTGATTCCTTGAACATCAGAGTCTATAGAGATCGATCCCAATCCCACCTTGGAGGTGCTAAGTTGTTCAAACTGATCCTGTGACGCAGTCCCGGGCCGCCATCGATGCAGCGCATCACGTTCTCAAATTGATGGAGATTCTCTTGTCTCCAGTCATGGAACCTCATAATTGGTGGAAACCAGCAAAGGTCACGGAGAAAATGCACGCCAAGGGTGTTGGAAGCCAAGTTATTTCATCAAGAAACACTTCTTTGAGCTCCGCCAACTTCTGCTCCACGGACTGTAGGACCTGCTCGAGGTCCTCGCCCACCACCGGCATGGCGCAAATGGATTGCAGGCGGGTTCCAATTGATCGGCATGCTGCGGCGATCTAAAGATGCAAACTAGGAGCTAGAAGCTACGTTCGGGGCTCCTGGCCGTACTACTAGGAGCAATGTTCGCAATCTGTGGAACCAAGATGGAGTTCTTCAAGGAAGCTCTCCCCCCACCCAGGTGTGGGGAGCTTCGTTGAAGCCGCTTGCAGAGAGTGAAGCCGTAGCCGCCTAGTTAATAGCTACTAGATGCTCCTAGTCTAGTAGCAGCTTAGTAGCTACTTACCCCTGACTTGCTAGCTTCTTAGCTCCTCACAGCCTGCTCCCCTCCCGAAAATGTGTGCTTTAAAACGATATCATAGGTTCCCCCTCTACTACCGAAATCACTCCATCAGTTGTGCCTGAAAGGCATGCTGGCACGACCTCTGGGAAAATCACCTCCGCCGAGATGTTTCTGTCCTGCCGAATTCTCAGTGCCGCCATGGCAACGTTGTTCTTATGCTTCTTTCATCAGCGCTTTCTGGCTAATGGCGATGGCCTCCAACCTAAGAGAGATGGCTTCTTTATCTTCCTTCTGATCTACGGTTCTCGAACTTAGCTCTTAACACCGAAGATACCTGAGCATACAGCATACGTGCAAGAAGCATCCATGCTATGCTGGATCAAACGGCCCACGCTGTGATCTAGCAGAGCTGTTTTATGGTACCACATCAAAGTGCGATGCTCCAGTCCTCTTTCCAGCCATCTCCATCCCATACACGCCAGATCTGATCAAAGTCCATGCCTCCAACAGACTGACTAACAGCTTCCAAATGCTTTCAATGCGGGGCCTCATGTTGAACAATACGTTCTTGCAGTGTTGCTTTGTGCAAGTCCTGAATCCATTATATTGACTCAGCCGTATTTAAGGTCAGACAGTGGATATCATGGACGAGCACCTTCACTAGGACCACAATCTGCAATGACATTCCCAGAGAAGTCGGGCGCGTCACTGACAATCCAAGCATCTGTCTGAGCAACCTTGAACTGAAGTGGCTTTGAAGCCGTCACAGTGTGCAGCATCTCGACAAACACATCGTATGATATCAAATTGAAAGCCTACTTTATATTCTCATGCAACCACTTTAATCATCTTTAATCAAGTATTGAATGAAATGCTGGAGCCTACCAAAAAAGGCACATGCAAGCTAGCCCCACATGCTCTGCTACCCCTGCACCTGGTCCACTAAAGAGTTGCAAGCTGCTCAACTGACTCTCCACCTCTCGATGCCACCAAGTTGCATAGAACCTCAAAGAAACTAAGAACTGCGGAAAATTCTGAGGATGCCAAAATGGTGTGAGAAGTGTGGCCAAGCGGCAGGAAGAGGCGCAGCAGAGGCCCAAACACCTCCTCGGATTCAGCCTCTTCGTCCTTGGTCACAACCCTGGAGCCGTACCAACGGGAACATGCCAATTTCTGACGGATTCTGGATCTGCCAATTTCGACCACACTTGCCAGAACCGCGACTGTGCGCTGCTGCAACTACTACATTCCTGGTTTGAGCATGACGAGTAGCGGAGCGAGGCATATCTGGGGAATTGAGTTGGATTTCACGTTGGAATGCCAGCCGCCCACTTTTCACCTTCAGGGTTTGCAGCAACAGCACCATGTCATGCAGGTAAGTCACCAAGGAAGAGTACATCTAGGGCATTTACTCGAGAATCTTCAGAATATTCTCTGATTCTCTCAATGCCCTTTTTAGATTGGATGTGCAATTAGCTGACATTCGGATGCTCTAACGATGTTTCTTCTGATTCATCGACCTTCCAGAAGTGCCAAAGACCATTGAGGGCCACAGCATTGAAGCCTTCGCGGCCAGTGATGTCCACCAAGATCTTCTTAAACCTGGGATAGCTTAGCTCAAATTGCTCTTAGACTCTATCGACATCTTTGGGACTTACCATGCTCTTTGTCTGTTCCTTTAGATGCTTTCTTACTTAGGCCGCGCTGCTCATGGCTTTCTTCCACTTTAGGCCTTGGAGCAGCCTTGACACGGCCTGGCACTTGGGACTGCACAGCTGGGCGCCCTAGACTATCGTCACTGCTGAGTCTATGACACAGCATCGACCCGTCTGCGGATTCAGCGCCTTGCCCGAGCTGTTGAGGAAGCTTAGGGACTGTGGGTCGCTTCTTGCGCGCCTGAGGTGACCACACCACAACTCGAGTCTGCCCCCAATGTGGCGCCAGAACCGACATAACATCTAACCTGGTCCACTGTCTACCTTCAAATTGGACCAGCATCTGGCAACTGGAGAGGAATCCGTGAGCAATCAGCCAAGAAGCAGGACAACTTCCAGCTGCCGTCCAGAATGAATCCTCGGGAGAATCCCCTGGTCATAGTGAGACGTGGAAATAAGTGAGGTAGAATTAGAAAACATATCCTTTCTCATCAAGCTGCGTTTCAGAATATGTCGTTAATGATTTAGCTTGGCTCCCTTCAATATTAAACAGTCATAGAATATCATAGAATCATACTCAGAGTAATCAAGACCTGCGCTCCCTCTCAGTTGCAATCGAGACACTATGCTCGCGTCGATTAACGCGCGCGTCGCCATTGGACGCGACGCTCGGCTTGGCCGAGCCCGAGTGTTTAGGGATGGAGTAAGCCAAGCGTTTTCGTTTCGTTGTAAGTTGCGACTTAGGCTTTGCCATTTCATTTTCGCACTTAGGGAATGGGGGTTGCTGCAGAATCATCAGCACTTCCAGCTAGTTTGCCTAGCAATGCATATCACATAATATCTCTAAGACCCTGCAAATAAAGATAATTGCTGCGCTGCTTTCTGTTGCTGCGAACTGTTTGCTCTATTCGAGCCTACACGGCCCAAAACGGAGCCTAAAACACGTGATGCTTCGGTTTTCAGTCGATGAATATAGTGATCTCTGAGCCACTCCACTCACCATGTTACACTGTTACACGTGATAACACAGCCGGCCGAAGCACCTCCAAATGCAAAATAGGTTAAAGGCCGATTTGGGAAGTATAGCCTGGGCCCTGACCCTAAATGAGTTCACACTTAGTCCATGCCTTGTGATCGACTATGAGCTTCAGTTAAAAATTTCAACATGTTCATGTGGTAATTGCGTGCTGGAGAGTATCTTTATCTAATTATTGGGTTCATTTGTTGTCTTGCTAATTTCCTTACATTTCGATCTGGCGGGATCGAACCTCAAAATCTGTACATTGAACAGCTAGTAATGACAAACCATTGTTTCAGTTGACGCCTCAACCAACATCTCAGTGTCCATTTGTATAATCCTGTTTGCTGCAAATGCTGTTGCAAAATAAACATGTGTCTCTCTGATGTTGATCTAAGTCAACAAAGTGGTTGTGATGTTGAATGGAAATAATCCTCTTGAATATGCAGTCAGCCTCATTGATGAATGCTGTCATGTTGCCTTGCCTCGTGCATTCTGAGGAAAGGTCTAGCTCACGCAGCAGTACATTCGGTGCAGACCAATACAATTGACAATGCTGAAAGGTGCCTTGGAATTCCAACGAGTTTTGCTCTGCTTACGTCGCGTTGATGCTCGTGCACTTTTTGGCTGTTAAGATGCTTTTTGTTTGGTTCTGCTAAGTCAGTTCAACTAGCATTGCAAATCCAGGGCTCTCATGCATTTGCTTGAAAGTACTTCTTGAAATGCTCTTTTGGTTAGGCCACTCACCAGAGGCAGTTGATGATAGTGAGTAGTTGACGGTGTTGTGTGGTTTGGTTCTTCTGTTTGGCTGCTGGCTTTTGAAATGATCCATCAAATTGAACTATGGCTGATTCTGTGAAAGGTGTCCGCCGACCCCAGCCGATAGAGGGGGAGAGCGCCAAAGAATTAAAAGCATTGGTCACCGGAAACCGGCACTGACATGGTTCGTTTATGCTCCTCCGCTGCCTTGGCCACTCCAGTCCGATTGGCCATCACCACCAGCAGCTGCAATGTTTCTACCTAGGGGCGGGAGTGAAAGTCAGCTCTTTACATCTCCTTTTGCATCTTTCTATCGGTCCTTCCCTTCTTTTTGTCCTTGCTCTTTCTTTTTTTAAAGCCCGGGGGGGTAGGCCGTAAGAGGTAGCTCGTAGCTTCAGTAAGGTTCTAGCAACTGGACGCAGGATAGCTCACGCTTCTTCAAGGAAGCGCTAGCACTAATGATTTGGTTTCTAGATGTTACATGTTCCTAGAATTTTAGGGAAACTTGACAAGGATCCCTGTCTTTGCCACCAATCCAGCCGTTGGCTGAAAGCGTGGCCCCATCTTCACTCGCGCCCATATGTGCCCAGAATCTGAGATCGTGACTAGTTCAGCACTGTACAGCGCTAAAGGTCCGAACTTCACCACCTGTCGGAAATGCCATCTGTAATCCTTTGTAAATGTTCGGGACCAAATGTGCAGGTCTTCCCAATTGGCCTTACATGGTCTTCCCCTACATGGCTACAGGCCAAGTTGGCAAGCGGTTTGTTCGTCACAACCTCCCTACAGTGAGATTGATAGAAGGCTCCTCCAGCTGATGGTGCCTTGTGCAAGACCTTGATGGTGCCTTTGGTGACAGATCCCACCACTGGAATCCAACCTGGGAAACACACGAGGTCTTTCTTGGTCTTGCCTGGTGAGCATGGTGAGATCTGAAAACATCTCTGTGCGTGTGCGTGTTGAGCCTGCCAAGTCCCCCACAAGGCTGGGAGTTTCTGTTTCTCATGTGACCGTCACTGAGAAGCCAAACCCATGAGGTCCACGGCACCACCCAGCGCTAAAGACCCCAAGCGATGTGCCTTTTCTAACCTACGGCCAAGCCAAGATGACAAGAGCACAAGCAACATCATCAACACATGTTGAGACCTGGAATGGTGAAGAGACTATGCCAGGAGCTTCGTCACATTCCTTCATACTTGCACTGAGCGCCGTGCACAGTCTCTTCAGGGTCCACATGCACCGGAGGTGGTTCGCCTGAAGATTGAGGATCGCTTCTCTGGATGGCACAAAGAACACCTCAAGCACACTTCTCCCGCCTGCAAAAAAACTGTCAAGGGTGAGGTGCTCCTCCTTCACAGTGACCACCACCTGCTGCCAACTTCAAGAAATTGGCAAACAATGATCCTCCCACTGGGAACGTGCAAAACTGTCTTGTGTGGGGTCAAGCGGCACAGCTCCACAAGAGATCAAACAATGAAAAACTCGAACAACTAAACCGGTTGACGCATGACACGCGGCACCAACGGTCACCCTGCTATACCGGTCCACCAGCCTGGTCTCGTTCAGCAGCCTTGGATGGCACAACAATGGCTAATGACACGGTGAAGGAGAGAAAAAGCCTAACAAACATTGAGACCATCACGAGGTACATTATAAATATATAAAACGCTCGACGAAGTTGAAGCTGGGAGGACTCATCCAGGCTCAGTCCATCGCTTTGCCTAGGAGCGGAGAGGCAACTATAACATCGCTTGCGGTCGTCCTTGGGGTCCTTCACAGCCATATCACCTGTGCGAAATCACCGAATCAGCGAGCCCTGGTCGAACTAAAGCTTCCGTGTCTCGGGTCATTGACATCTTTGAGTCGTTTGGTTCATTTCACTACCTGCACAGCGTATGGGCGTATGGTCATATGTGTTGAGAATCGCGTGGCTTCAGCGAACGCTCAAGGGTTCATGTGGCCGCTGCGCCTACATCTCCACATGCACCACCATCTCCACTTTTTGTGGACTGGCCACACACCTCGTCACGGCCGAGTCCCAATTGACAAAGGCTACAAGCTCCATGTCGGCACTCTTGGCTGAAAAGAGCTGGCACAACCCAAACTGAACTTCATTGGCAATTGGAAGCTCAAGGTGACGAATGCATGCAATTCAATAGGCTTCCGTGCAGCACAGGGCACTGGTCCAACGGTAGAAAGACTGACCACAGAACCTCTCATGACTCCATCCGTCACCGATGGTCACCCAACATGTCGAGTGCCAACAATCTGTCAACTCATCGAGAAACAAAACAATAAGCTACTAGGAACAAGTGCATCGCTTCTAGTAACAAGTGCCTTACTAGTTACTAGTAGTAACAAGAAGCTATTAGGAACAAATAGCTATTATTAATTAGAATTTAATTAGAATTTAATTGTTGGACCCTGCCAGGTCCAACGTCTCTGTCCCCTCCCTCTCCCTCTCTAACCCCACGCCACACGCACACACCGCAGACGTCCTCATGAGTCCACCAGAATCAAATGCACTGATGCCTCGGGCATGCTCTACTGCGTCAGTTGCAGCAGCCTGGACGGCGGTTTGCCAATTCGGATGTCTTTCCGCTTTGTGTAGCAATGTTCGCTACTAGCAACAAAGGGCATCCCTACGAACGGAGCGATCGCACGCTACGAACGTAGCTCCTGGCCTTACTACTAGGAACAAGAAACTACTAGTAACAAGTGCATCGCTACTAGTAACAAGTGCCTTACTAGTAGTAACACGAACGCTACTAGGGGCTCCTGGCGAAGGCTCCTCTTTGTCCGTGGCCTTGGCCCGCTCCACATGGCGTTCCAATGCCGCAGTCGCACCCGTGCGCGCCTGCCACACAACGATTGTGGAAAACTCAACCGGCACTGCTCAGCGGTGTGCTTTTAGAATTGCAATGGCTCCGGTCCAACTACAACTGCAGTCATACTGAGTCCTACTGCATCATACGACATGAAATCAAAATGGCACAGCTGCAGTGGTTGCAAAACGCTGCGAGTGGAGCGTGCATCAGGCATCTATCCCTTCAAACAATCTCACGATCCTTCGGCCTGGTCCATGGCGGCCATGGCACCGGACAACATCTTGGGCTGCGCCTTGAGCAATCTTCAAGAACCGCAGGTTAAGAGTTTGCCTGCTTTCCAATAGCATTGTATCGACCAGCCGTCCAAGTCATATCAAGTCATCACACCATCCTCTAGTCTGGCATGTTACAAAGCCTTGACATTCACAACTGCTGAAATGGCTATGCTCTACCTAGCTTGTGCCAACTAGCTAGATTCTTTCAATCCTACTACACATACGCATGGTATTAACGTTGAGGTGCACAATTTACTTCTTCAACACTTCAGTCTGGTGACACATTCTCTCCGAGTGGCACACCAGCCAAGGCCCAACAAAGCCCGCCGATACGATAACTTTCAAGTTTTTGTCCGAACCTATTCCCTATTCCTGCCAATTGCTGTTAGAGAGCATGAAATTTGGAGGAGTTTTGTCAAGTTTTGTCTGGTTGATTCTGGTAGTAATGGTGAGAATGATTTTTGGGGGTCTGGGTTTCTCTGTGGCAGCTAGAGTGTGTGGCATCCCTTTACTGTCTCTTACTATTCTAAAGGGTGAGTGCCTAGTGTCTAGCATATGGAGCAATATAGCTACCATCTGTGATGGTCTAGAGTTTGGATCCTCAGAAGCCAGATCTGCGCCAGTCAAGACTCAGGCAAAGAACAAGCTTGAATGGGACTCAAGAGGGGCCAAAGTAGATCAAAGTAGTAGACCACTACTTCGACTGCTCTATGAGCTCAACCTCTGGCTTTGGGGCTTTGCAAGTTCCACGACATGGCTTGAAGTGTGCTTGGCAATGTCAGCGTGAAGTTTGGCTTTCACTTGGCTGGTACAACCCTGAAACACATGTGTCTCTGATTGCAGTCGCTTCATCTGTCCACTGCGTTGACCTGCTGTACACGAGAGGAGAGTCAGTCCATCGGACATCCGCTGAAGAAAACTGGGGCACGCTTTGCAAGTCTGGCTCGTCCATGAAAACAGCGAAGATAAGCTGCCACATTCTTTGAAACGTGCAACGGGGTGCGAAGGAAGATTTAACCCCTGCGACGTTTGCAGCAGCCCAGCCCGAAAATCAGCCCAATGGTGCCTTTTGCAACTCCTGCATTGCTGCTGTTGGCATCTTCGCAGCAAATTTGGCCCACTGTTGAGAGAAAGCGTCGGTTGCGCTCCAGTGTTCCTGGGGTATGGATCATGTTCCACTCCAGTGAAGCGTCCTTGCCCAAAAGCCTAGCTATGGCTTCCTGACCGCCAGGGTGAAGGGGAATCCATCTAGTCACGTCGAGGGCCTCGCCATTGAGAATGATCCAAGCATCCTGCAGTTTGTTGTGCAGAAACACTTCTTCCGCAGTGACTCCTTTGGGCCCTTCCACTTCATCGAGAATTCTCCCCGACTCCACCTCAGTAAGGAGCTTTTCCATGCTGGTGTCTTCGATCATCATTGCTTCAAACAAGTGCTCCCTGTTCAACAGGCTCACCTGAACCCTCCCCACTTTGAGCCATTCCAGGCAACCATCAACATGGTTGATGTCTCTTTCAGGTGTGAAACCCCTGGGACCTATCTTGTGAATGCGGTCCATGAAGAATAATTAAGTCATGAGATGTCATTTACCATGGTCCAGTGCACATAGCTGAGCGATGCTACGTGTTTATGGAATTAACATGATGTATGCAATGCATGCACCTGCATGTGGCATCTTCAGCCTGCCAGGCCAAATTGGAATTTGCACACCATCAGAATGCAAACACTTCGATCAGGCAGCAGGTTAAAGCTTTTCACTTTCACATCTTGATTTATTTCGCTTTGGAGGCATGGAAGCACAGGAAATCCTCAATTTTCGGCAGTAGCACTTTGGCCACCCTGCTGGAATCCTGAAGCTCCAAATACACATCAAAGTCCAAGACTGGCACCTTCAGCGCCCGAGCCACTGGCAACAAAGGCGTCAGCAATGAAATCATCGCCTCCACCATAGTGGTACACAGGCAGTGGAAGTGATTGAGGTATCATTCTGTGATATTCTGTGAGGTAGAGTTACATTTGCACATTTCTGTGGTTTCAAGACTTACCGCGTTCTCCCAAAACCATGCCAACTACCAATATGTCCGGCGGATCACACCCTGTCGTGTTAAGCCGCAGGCTGCAGGTAACGACCCGCAGCCTGAGTCGGTGCCCCACCGGCCTTGTTGGACTCCTCTGAGAGGAAAGAGATGTGGCACGGTGGGCGGGTGCCATTCTCACGCAGCAAAATCGCAATTGCTGGCCTTGCGGCATCGAACTGATCCATGTCCTGCACGATCCGCCGCATGGTCCCACCCCGGTCAAAATGATAAAATGGAAAGGGAGATTCCGAGGATGGCTGGGATCGAAGCCCACAAACCGAGGCCTCCAGAGCCCTTCCGAAGCAGACTTCAGAATGCGAGTTGCATTGCGGTGGAATCCTCAAAAAGCCACTCTCCGGATGTCCCATCATGTCCCATCCGCCCTCCCTCCTGAAGTTCGATGTTCTTCGGCAAGGCCGCTGTGATGCGTGGCAAAGCCACCACGCCATCGCCCTCAGATGCCACCACCAGCAGCGGGTCGGTTGGAACCGTTTGTGGCGCCAAGCCGGCAATGGCCACGCGACCGCATTGGAAGGGCCCAGGAAAAAGACTCGCCTCAAACAGCCCAACTGGACGGATGTTTGACTGGAATATCAAGCCTATAGGGCCTAGAGGGCCTATGGCTACCGAGAACCACCATGGAAACCCTTTGGGGGTCTGCAACACAAGCTTGAAGATTGGTGGGAAATGGTTCACCTGGGCCGGAACAAAGAGGTTCAAACTCGGTTGAAGACGGTTGAGGAATGTCGAAAGTACTTCAGCTCCAGGCGTCAACGCCTGACAGGGAGGCTCCTTCAGCCATTTCCTCCAAGTGACAGTGCCTCCACCAGCTGAATGCCCAACAATGCCAAAGTGCTTTACGGCAAATTCCTTCTGAAGGCGCGTCAGCAGTTCTTCCATGATGTCTTGTCGCGTCACCTCACGCAGCGGGACCTTTCCGGAGAGGCTCTCGGCAAAATCCGGCGCGGCGACCACAAAACCACACTGTGCAAGTTCTTCACACAAATGCAGCATGTCAAACCGACTTCCTAAGTATCCATGTGCAAAAATGATCGCACAGCTTTCACGAGGTAAGCCTTCTGCAAGACGCCTTTCTTGTAGTTCTGTCTCTTGACGTTCCACGGGGATGGGCTGGGCTTCAGGATAAATTGGTTTGCCTGCCCTCAACCGAAACTCCCATCCAATACCTGGTAGCTCTGTGCCTTGAAGAACTTCCACTATTTTCGCCACACTGATGAAGTGTCGGTAGGGCAACTCCTTGCTGACACGGCCTGGGGTGGCTGGATACCAGAAGCTCACTGGAGCCTTCTTCCCTCGGACACGGATGTGGCTGGCCCTATAGCCCACTGAGACACGACCAAAGGCCAATGCAGAACAGCTTGTGATAGCCAGTGCCAGCGGGAATGCGCTCCTACAGTCTACCACAAGCCACAAGCCCGGTAAGCTTGTCATGAATTCTCAAATCTATAGAATTGAATCTACCAGCCTTGACTATCATTGATCGATAACCCCCCAAACAAGAACACCAACAGAAGCTTTCTGCCTCCTGCGCACAGGCTCGGCCACGTACACTGAAGCTGTTGGGCGATTCGCAGGCAAGGAAGCCATGGAAAGCGATGGAAGAACCGACAGATCGTCACTGACAGTGAAACCATCATCGAACACCATGTGATGAGTCTGTCTCCAAATTGGGGGCCTCAACTGACCGAGTTTGGCCTCCCCATGTTGAGATATGGAATTCAGGGCATGACCCGCCAGACTGGTATAAGCATGTATGGTATAAGCCAAAGGCTTCTGACAAGCATCAACATTTTGAGGCCAAAACTAAGCCACATCCTGCATGCCACAAAAGGAAAAAGGCAGCCTTTGTGAGGAAGAAAACAACAAAGGCAGCAAATTTCTTTGGACTCAGGGCGAGGGTCGCTCCTGTCCTGCCAGGCCCTGAATGAAAATGGCTCTCACTGGAGGAAGGGACGGTGGTGAACGAAGTGCCATACCTTTGCATTTCGCGTCCACGTTGTGTTCCGAAAGTCTTCATCTGATTCCATGTGATCGTATGGTCCTACTCTCCAGATGAGTATTGTAGGAAAAAGTCCATGTCAAATGGTGTCCAAAAAACATATCAAGTCCTGAGCTCATTTGATATTGTTGTCCAAGCTCGTTCTGCTGCTCTAGATGCGAGGCGACCCACGGTGCTGTCACGACCTCCGGGCTGGCAGGGCAAGGGTGCCGGCATGCAACCCACAATGGGCCATTGTAAAAAAGAAACATTGAAGACATTGGAGAAGAACAAAAGAAGGTAATTATAATATATATATATATTATATACAGTATATAAAGGCTTCTAGCAATATCTTTATGTCTTTGGTTTTTGTCTTGCACTGTTTCATGCTGTTGCCGCATATGCATGGCGAGGCACACTCCATGATCTTTGTCCTACAAAGAGAACACAGCTGGGCAAATGGGTGAGCCTGCGCTCAAAGTGAAAATGACTTGAATGCATGTCAGAAGCTTGGCACTGTTGATGTCCTTTCAATCAGCTCCTTTTGCCAGGCCGCTGGGAGCCACCTGCGGTCGAAAGCCAATGGCTTTAGAGCCCAAATTCAACCAAAGATCTTAGCTCAACACCAGGCTTTGATAGAATCCCTGCACCAAATTCTGCCAAGCCGCCAGTTGACCATGTAGCCAGAGCCTTTCTGATGACTTGCCCCGAGAACAAAGCATGCATCACCTGCACTTCAGCGCGGCAATGACAGAAGCGAGGCTTTCATCAATAGACGTGCGTGCACTGTGCACCCACCACCCATCCCCTACCCCCACGCACCCCGCTCTGACCAAGGCAGAAACCGCCAGGCAGTTTCAGTGGCGCAACACGGCCAAGTCGCGTGGACCCAGGCTGGTGACAAACATCCCAGCTCCCCAAGGCCAGTAGGTGTTTTTCAACTCCTGCCCGGAGCGAAAATCATCCAAAGCGGCTCAATTGGCATGTTCTAGATGAGCAGGAGCACACTCTCATGAAAGAATATGAATCTTGATGTCTCCAGCTGTCTCTCCTTGGGCTTTGAGCCTGCCAACACCCTCAGGCTAGCGCACGCATGCGCAGCCTGCTCCTCGCTCGGGAAGGAGACCTTCAAAGGGCAACTCACATTCGTCACATTGTGGTTGTGACCTGTTGACAACGCCCCCGCTTAATTAAAGGTCTTGGGCACATGCAACTCTTTCAAATCATGCAGCTGATGCCTTTGGCACTGGTGGCATGATCCAATCAGGCGGATTCCCAATGCAACCTCAGATGATGACCCTTGACTCCCCACAGTCCCAAATGCCAAAAGTGGGAGTTGAAAAAACTGACGAATGAAGAGCTGAAAGGCCTAGACCGCCAGAGATCTTCCAGCCATGGCGGCGCCTTCTTTCATTTTCTTCCCTAGTAGCGTCCTTGCTCCTAGCAGTATGGCCAGGAGCCCCTAGTAGCTTCTTGCTCCTAGGGCTCCTAGTACCAAGCCTTTCCAGTCTCTGGGAGGGGTACCTGGAAGCCGACGTGCCCTGCGTCAAGGAGCCGTAGTTGCAATCGCCGACGGCGAACACTCGACCCTCTGCCCAGGTTTCTCCAAGCGGTTCGTTGCCACTTGGCCGCAAAGTGACCTGAAAGTGCACGTCGCTTCGCGCTCGGCAAACAGCAACAATCCGAGTCAGCGAACCAGAACGACTTGGCTGTTTGGCGATTCTTTGGTCACCCATCGCCTGCAACTTCTGATTGAAGTGAATCCAACCACCGCCGCCTCACAGGCAAGAAGTTGGACTGGAAAGGATTCAAAAATCAATAAAAATCGCACATTCGCCTGGCTCTCACGAAGAAATTTGAAGCGGCCAAGGAAAGATCAAATGGCAATGAGGCACCATGTTTGTTCAAACATGTTCAAACAGTATTTTCAAAATCTCATCATCAGCTTGGCCTGGCCCGCGTACGCCTCAAACAGCTGCCCACGGTGCCAAAGAAAAAGAAGAACCACGACTGGTCTTGGTATCTCGAACAATCCAATCATTGGCAGTTGAGCGTCTGAGGGTTTCAGCTGGCATGAAATAGTTTGAAGCCTTCACACCAATGCAAACCTCAGCTTCAGTTCTGAAGTGGCATATCATCATAATTGGATTATAGACGCCGAGCTAAAGCTTCAAGACTGCACCAGTTCGTCCGTAGTCCTTTTTGGGGGAGATGATGCCACATTTGGCCTGCACCACTAAAACTCCAAACATGGGAGGTCATCCTGCCAAGCCCTTCTCCAGATCCAAGTAGCGAAGGTCCTTTCTGCCTTCATTGGAAGACCTATCTGATCCCAAAAGGCTTGGCTTGCCTCAAGGAGGCTTGAGTTGAATTGATAGAGGGAGAGGGGAGAGGGGGGAAGGAGACAGAACTCACGCAAACAAACGTCCATGCAAGGTTGAAGCTCTTGTAGCTCTTATGGTCGCTAAGGCGCAGGGTCATACTTGATGTCATAGACCTGCCTCAAGCATTGGGCTACTTAGGGAAAACCATCGTCAATGAGCCCATGATTTGAAGGGAACATGATTTTGGGCAATGCAGGCAAGCTGCTGGATACCGACCTTTGTCCTAAGCTGCAGAAAGCGTGGGACCGCATCAAAGGTCTTCTGTATGCATCGAGGCGTGTTTTGGAAAAATGGCTCGGTCACCGCTCTTCCCCTACTGTGACTGCAAAACGGTCGTTGGCCTGTGTGCAAACGATTTTGGACTGGAAGTATTAATCCCACTTGGTTTTGCCAAGAGTTGCGGCTTGTGATGAAAAGTGTTTGATATGCGCAGGCCGGTTCATCGCAAACCCTTTATGACTCAATTCATTCCAGCATATCGCCTAGAGCACATCCCAGAACACCTCAACAGTCAGGAAGTGGCTGCAAAATGTGTCACCTCCCCTCTTACAGTAATCTGAGGGCCAACCATGCTGCAAAGGAGTTGGCAATTGCAAAAAAAGAAGCCGACTGTGTGCTGGTCGCAAAGAAGCCGGCTTGGCTAGTTGAGCTCGACAAATTGCTGCCTATCTTGTAAGGCAAGGCCAGGTCGACAGGATCACGAGCGAAATTTGCATGTGGAACGCACCGGCGATGCTTTCAAGCTTTCCTTGGGAAGCCGTCTTGCCCAACGAGCTACAACCAAAGCCATCTTTGCCTACCTTGAGCTGGGAGGTTGCCCGATGATTTTTGGTTGGTTCGCGACTCCCACTTCATTCGGGGCACTTGGAGTGCTTCTTCATTTCCGTTTGTTTTAGAGCTTGATCATGACCACTACAAGCCACGAATCGCAATCGCTGAAAATAAAGTCGCTTCCCTTGCAAAAAGATCGGTACGAGGGGTTCACATCATGGTTGCATCAACTAGTCCTTTACCATGAGTGAAGCCTATGTCCAACACGTTCCGATGGCATCTTCTGAATGTACCAGACCATACCTGGATACCTGGCCAAATCTCTTCCGACATGCAGGACACAGCGCTGGCAAGGCTTTTCTGCGAGGCTCTTGGTCGTGACTCATCGTGACACTATTTCAGATTCAGATCATCAAAGCTCACGAAATGAGTCCGTATCTCAAACTTAGTCCGTCTTGGAAATGCCATGATCCAGAGAAATATGGTGGAAGTGCTTCGAGAGGCTTCGGGAAGAATGACATTACTCACGCTTTGCCGGGAAGCTTGCATTCGGCTATGCCAGGCTGTATCGTCGTCGGTGCATGTCCGTATCTTGAAGACGGATGTTTGGTGCACTTTGTCAACTTGTTTGATGCGGGAGTGGGGTGGAGTCTCGAATCCTGGAAGATCCAATCTCTTGATTCAATGCTTGCACGTTTCACTTGTTTTCCTTTTTAGTTGTCTTCATCTGTAGTGAGGCAACACACTGAACCTCCTTTGACGAGGATGGCAGCAAAAAAAAGGCGGATACAATCCGACACATCCGCCCTGCAGATTGGGGACTCGGCACGGGAGGTTAAAAATCCGCCCGCACCAAAGGTGCTCAGGGCGTGATCATCCGGATAGCATAAACAACTGTAAGGTACAGGTTTACCCGGGGGTGGTATTTTTCGACTTCAAAAAACACCGTCTTTACAGCACGGAATGGACTAGTGGATTAGTTCGTGCATGCGCCCGGAGCCGGCAAGAGAAAAGTGATAAAAACCCAGTGTTTTTCACGTTTGGTCTTCGATTTTCGGACGCGCAGTGTTTTTGTACATTGCCGAGGCTTACGGTAAGTTCTTTGCGCAAAAATGCAAAAAAGAACTCGCAAATAGCAGTGTTTTTGGTGACAATGTTGTTGAAAACGTCGCAAATTGCGGTGTTTTTTGACAGCAGTTTCAAGAACCCTGTAAATAGCGGTGTTTTGGGCCATGGCAAGCTCAAAAACATCGCTATTTGCAGTGGTTTCTGCCTCACAGAGTATAAAAACACTGCTAAATACGGTCCTACGTAGTTGCGTTTTTGGCAACGTCAACCTCAAAAACCTCGCTATTCGCCGTTTTTGTTGGGCAACTGTTTCATGGCGGTGCGGGCGGACCTTGCCGCGGAGCGGCGTGAATATAAAGTACACCAAGCACTCAAATTCTGGGGCAAGACTCAAAGCCAAAAGAGGCAAAAGGCCAATTCGGATCTACTGAATCGGTTTGGAGATGGTGACCGGATAGTATCAAGATGATTTTCAGCCTTGTGCCTAAATCGATTTTGACCACGAAGTTGAATGTATCAGAACTACGTAGTTGTGGAGAGGGATATGGCATGCTTCAGGCCGGATTCAAGTCGATCCTTGGAGGTCGTTGGCCATATTCACATAGCGAGTTTCAGAGTGCTTAGAAGAGGTTTCGTTGGGAGGTGGGCATGAAAGTCCAGATGCTTGCAGTCTATGGCTATTGTGCCACTCGACACACTGGTAGGAATTGCCCACATCAAGGTAGCAACCTGGACTGACACTGTCTTGAGTCGATGGTAGAAAGCTGAGCCTGATACGAGCATAGCGCATACCGAAAGAAAACCCCTTCCCGGACCAGTGCTGAGGATTTAACAGCGGAGCCGACGGCGTCGCAATCTAGAGCACCCGTCTCATATTGTTCATGGAGCAAATGATGCTCCATGATGTATCAGGAAAGCTCGAAAAACCTTAATAACCTGGCGAGGGCAATAGCTATATATATATATATATTTATGTGTGTGTAATATAAATGCTTTGATTCAACCCAGGTAGAACCTCCGAGCGGACGGTTGCTCTCCTGTGAGTCTTCTATGGCGCAGTATTGCACAAACCAAGAGGGTGCATCTGTCACAAACCGCGACGGCAACCCCCTTGTCAACCCCGTTTTGTCCAATGTGAACCCAAAAAATTTGCAGCTAGATGCAGTTGGTCTGCGATGATTTTTGAGATCAACCTGAGCAAGTTGGAGGAAGAAACTTTGAGGATGGGACATTTTGGTTAGCAGGATGGTCCTAGCTGCCATATCGATCGCACAATGACGCCGAGATGTTCAAGGAATCAAGGCCAGCTGCCTTAAACGGTTTCATACTGCGATTTCTTCTTGTGTTTCAAGTGGGGGTCATCCCCTCCATTCGTATTCAATTGTGCTAGAAGGTCATCGATTATGCATTGCCAAGCTTGGTTTGAGACAGAAATTGCGAGTGGATCTTAATCAGCGAAGTTTGAAGCTATCACTGACGGTCCATAAGCGGCGTAGCGTCGGAACGGAAACCGCACCTTTTCTAGTCGCTTGATCCTTGAGCCAAAGTACATATGGTACATATATATGTACAAGTTGCACTGTACGTGTCGCTGCACTTCCATTCGCAGAAATCATGACAAAACAAAACGAATAGCTCACGTAGCCACATCACATTGGCGACAAGTACTCTTCGAACCCCTGTGAGGGCTTCTCATACGAATAATTGGTTTGCTAAATTGAAAAAGTTCTGTGTGGAAGTTTGCCCGGTGTGTTTTCAACTGTCAATAATAAACCTTCCTGAGATGGAATGTTGATCTTAACCCTTCAAAAAAGGGCTTTCCTTTGAGGACTTGAGCATGTTCACAAATTCTGATGACCCCTCTGGAGGCTCTCATAAGGTTGGCATCCTCCATGACTTTGTTGGGCTTGAATTGCCTTGTATTTTTAGTAAGCAATGTTTATCATGTTTGTCAACTTGTATGCGATGTTTGTCGAAATCGAGTGTGCATACTGAGAACATGAGGCACCGAGACTTGCACGATGATATAAAAACTGCCAAGCATCATGTATCTCTCACAATATTTGGCTGCCCTTTCCGGGAGTGGCCCCAGGCAGCGTGGCAGCACATCCACAATGGTCAGCTTCAGCTTTGGGAAGAAATGCCTTATCCAGAGCCTTCTCAGGCAACCCCCGCTTGTATCGGCTCTCCGTTAGACAGTCCAAACAATGTTTCTCCTGGTGAGGCCATGAATGCCAAGAGGCTGAAGCTCAGTGACCCACTCCACACCAATAAATCCAGCACCCACCACCAATATTGAAGCTTGCCTTTAGCTCTAGATGTCCAAAAGGTCCAAGGTCAAGTCAATGAGGGTCCAACAGCGAACTAGTGAAAGTCACTGCTGACTCAATTCAAAGCGTTCCAGACTGTCACCCGCACCTCTCATTTAGCACCGCCAGCTTCTCGTGTTCCTGCGGGCATTGAGGTTGGACTTCATATACTTCTGCCGCAGTGTTTCTGCCACAGTGGAGTTTAGTCGCATCAGCTATATACTCACCCCACGACAATACGATGGTCAATAAAAATGGCTTCATTGCCACTGGTGAAAAGTCACATTCAAAGGCAACTATCAGTAGAAGACCCCGCACAAATATGAATACGCTGCAGCGAAAAGGCAGCAATGGCGATTCAAGGCTTGACCAGTAGCAGTGGCGAGGGTGGACATTGAATTAGATTGAGTCACATTGCTAATAGCGGCATTGTGACTCGGACCATTCACACAATGAATCAAAGTTGATCACTAGTCCTTTGTACCAGGCACGTTTCAAGGTCCCGTCAAGAATCCCAGCCTCTCTAAGTCTCTAAATAACACAAAAGACTCACTATTAGGTTGGAGGACATCGCTACTAGGGTGGAGGTCATCGCTATTAGGTTGAAGTCTCTAAATGGCACAAAAGACTCCACCAACACGTCCTCACCGTCCTCACCCTCTCAAACATCAACGTCCACCGACCTGCCTCGAGGATGTGACGCCGGCGACCTGCAAATCAACATCACTAACAAAATCATGTGGATTTATCATTTATTTTGTAGTGAGCGACTCTCAAATGATATACTGTAATGAATATAACATAGTGAGTTAATAAAATAAACCTAATCATTTGGTACATGAATAGATTAATTTTAGTGAGTGACTCTCAGAACTGTTCACCTTCCTCTACCAAACTGTCTGGCCGGCTGCACGCTGCAAAGCGAACTCCTCTTTTCCAGCACCTAGCCAGGCGTCCAGCCTTCTAAATAGCGTTCGTCTATCTCTGGCCAGGCGCTCTCCTGCAGTGCAGCCCAGGCAGCTTACGGGTGGAGGATCAAAAGAAAAACAACCAAGGATCAAAAACAAAATAAACTCAAGAGATCAAAATAAAAACAAACAGGGATCAACGACAAAACAAAAAATTGCGATGTTGCAATAAAACCAGGGCACAAACGAGGATAACATAAAAACAAACAAGGATCCAAAAATACATAAAAGGTAGGTAGGCAGGGAGGTAGGTAGGTAAGTAGGTAGCAGCAGCAGTAGTAGTAGTAGTAGTAGCAACAGCAGTGGCAGTAGTGGTGGTAGTCGAAGAAGAAGTAGTAGTAGTAGTCGTCGTGGTCGTAGTCGTAGTAGTAGTAGTAGTAGTAGAAGCAGGAGCCGGAGCAGCAGCAGCGGGAGTAGAAGCATAAGAAGAAGAAGAAGAAGCAGAAGTAGAAATAGCACTTGGAACAGCAGTAGTAGCAGTAGTAATAGTTGTTGTAGTACGAAGAAGAATCAAAAGAAGAAATGGCACTTGTATAACCAGCAGCAGCAGCAGGAGCAGGAGGAGTAGTAGTAGCAGTAGTAGTGGTGGTGGTGGTCATGGTAGTTGTAGTGCAGAAACTTCCATGCAAATTGCGGGGCTGCAGTGGGGAGTGGGGCTGGGCTCGGTCACTAACATGGGCTCCGAAACTGGTAGGGGTTGGCAGTAGTAAGTAGTAGAGGGGGAGTAGTAGTAGTAGTAGTAGTAGTAGGAGTAGCAGTGGTAGTAGTCGTCGTCGTCGTAGTCGTAGTAGCCGTAGTTGTGGTAGTAGCGGTAGTACTGGTAGTAGTGGTAGTAGTAGTCGTCGTCGTAGTAGTAGGAGTAGGAGTAGGACTAGGAGGAGGACTGGGAGTAGGAGTATGTAGTGGTAGTAGCAGTAGTAGTAGGGGTAGCAGTGGTGGTAATAGTAGTCGTCGTCGTGGTGGTGGTGGTGGTCGTGGTAGTGGTAGTAGTGGTAGTGGTACTGGTAGTGGCAGTAGTGGTGGTTCGTTCTTTCACCACTACTTACACCACTCATCTTACACCACTCAACTCACACCACCTATCTTACACCACCTATCTCACACCACCCATCTGGCACTAGTCATCTTACACCCATCTTACACCACTCAACTCACACCACCTATCTCACACATACTCATCTTACACCACTCATCTTACGCCACTCAACTCACACCACCTATCTTACACCACCCATCTTACACTTACACCTGGAGTGCAGATTTTCGTGGCAGGCGCAGTGCACAGAGGCTTCAGGAGGAAGACTTCGTGTACAGCATGCACTCATCTTACACCACTCATCACACACCACTCATCTCACGCCACTCACCACACACCACTCATCTTCCACAACTCATCATACACTACCCATCACACACCACTCATCACGCACCACTCATCACACACCACTCATCACACGCCACTCAGCACACACCACTCATCACACACCACTCATCTCACACCACTCATCTTACACAACTCATCTCACACCACTCATCACACACCACTCGTCACACACCACTCATCTTACACCACTCAACACACACACCACTCATCACACACCACTCATCACACACCACACATCACACACCACACATCTTCCACAACTCATCATACACCATCACACACCACTCATTTCACACCACTCATCTCACACCACTCATCACAGACCACTCATCACGCACCACTCATCACACACCACTCATCACACACCACTCATCTCATTCACTTTTATCGCCCGGGATCTTTCCGTCCTCTTTTCTTATCAGTCTCTACTTTTTGTTGATAGTTCTTACAAGCTTAACATGTGGGGTTATCTGGTCCTTTTATTTCTTTCTTAATTGTTTTTTTTGTTTATCTGTCTTTCTCTTGCTTAGTTTCTTTCCGTCTTTCTGTCGTCTCTTCCACGTATTGTTTCTTGATGTATGTTTGTGTGTTTCTTGATCCCTATTTGTTTTTTAATTGATCCTTATTTGTGTTTTTTTGGATCCCTCTCCCGCAGCTTACCCAGTGGCCACTTTGGCCAGTTTTCGGTCCTGGCGAGCTGCCTCGTGGATGGTGGGAAACCACAATGACTCTCCCCACCTGAGATGAAGGAAGTGAAACAGGCCACCAGCGACAAACCAAGAGAGGGGAGGTGTCAGATCATGGTGGTTGTCCAAAAACCTCATGAGCCAGCAGCTTTTGCCAAGGAGCTTCTCAAAGGGGCCGAAGTTGCCTTAGTGCAGGGCACCAAGTCACAAGGATCAAAACCTCGGACCCGGATGTATCAAGTTGAACTTCTGAGACCTGCAGTGATCAAACCTCTTCCCACACAGCCAAAGGGGCAACCAGAGCAAATCACACAGTAGTCGAAGCTCCTTAGGCATTTTCTCTCTCTCTCTCTCTCTTGCTCTCTGGTCAAAAATGTGGTGGTGGGACCCTGGTAAAATGTCATGGGACACTCTACGTGCTGAAATCCTGAGATCCAAGTTTCAATGTCAGAATGCCACCCGATTCCACATGTGCGCTCTCATTTCTAACCAATGCTTTGATCTCCGCACTGACTTGGCTGTCTGCCTGAGTCGAGCAGCCGCAAGCATCCCCCACTAGGCAACCGCAAGCGAAGCGGTGGGAATTCCTAAGCACCTGGGCTTAGGGGGGTTACAGCATGACATGCGGTCAGCTTGCTCTTTGGGGATCTGTTTGGGATGGAACTCTGGCGATGTTTGACATGGAGGTGGTGATCTTCCAAGGTCATCTGCACCCTTGTCAAACCATTGGACCAGGCACATCTCAATGAAAGAGGTGCGGACATCCCTCTGCTGTGAGGCTCTCAACTGCCGCCAGGTTGCGAAGCTTAGTTGCTTCACTTCTCCTTCAGTGGGATGTTCGATGCAAACCCGTCAAAACATCGGGTACCTGAAGTGCACATCCCATCTTGGGAAACACCTGAATTTGTCGCAACACATTCTCCTGCCAGAAACGTCACGGCCATCTTGGCCATCACAGGCTGCAGACAGAAGCTCAATGAATCGAAGTGCGAGGGGTGCCTTGGTCACACCATGGCCACCGTGGCTGCATGCCACTGCATGCCGCTTGTTTGTACATCTAGAGGTGCCACGTCCTTGAGACTCAGAACATCACTGGTTCGCAGGTTGCTCCAAGGCACGAGCAATGACGGTTGAGAATAAAACCGTTGAGGGGATGTTGGATCTGAGCCTTCAGTCAAGCCACACAAAGGCTCTCAGGATGCCGGGCGTGAACTCCATATACTCCTGAAACAGTCAGGAACTCCAGTTGAACCAACACAACATCTACCAAGGCCTGAAAGGTGAATCTGTGCACCAAGGCTCTTGGAGGAAAACTTGCACTCTTTTCCTCTGCTTCGAAAATGACACTCCTTGGCATCGACCAAGGTGATATCGAAGTCCCGCCTGATGACACAGGCCGTCTAATGGAATTCTGACCCAACCAAACCTCGATAAAATCTAGATACATCATCAAAACAAAATCGATTATTCTGTATTATGCGTCTTTTCATGGAACTTGCCTCCTCCACCACCAGAGCCTGCATCCTTTGACTAATTACCCGCAGGGCTTGAATCTAACACAAATGCCTAAAATGCAATGAACTCCACTCTTATCGCCCTGTCCATTCCCACCAGCCCCACAGAGCTACCCAGCACTGAGCCTCAGCTCCCGACAGCAAAAAGTGCCCGAAAACCTCAAACCGGCACATCCGCACAAAGTGAAAGAGCTTCAAGGGCGTGAAAACGAGTCAGCAGCCACACTTCCAGCTGTGCGTGATTCAACCAGCGGAAGCAGGATGAATCACCACACTCTCAGATTCCCATAAAATCAAAATTCCTCAAACAACCAAACAAACAACAAGGACCTCAAAGGTCCCTAGAAAGCCCCCCAGCCCTCCTGACGCTGCTGACCAGAAGGCTGCCCACCGATCACTAGAAGGCGGGGCTTGGCATTGTTTATGCCGAGAAAAGGAGTGTCAAACCTGCAAAGGAAAATGCAACTTCTACACTCGGCCAGTTGTTTGAAACCTTAGGCACATTCACCGCACCTGGCACTCATTGCCGGGCCCAATGGCGCGACTGCCTTTAATGCTAAGAATTGGTGGAATATTTGCCAAATGTCTACTGCCAAAACACGCCCACATGGTGGGACAAAGCCGATACAGCCATCAAAGATTTTAGAATTGAATGGATGTCTCGGGCTGGGGTGGAACGACACGAGTGTAGCTGAGAAGTCTGGTCCCCTCCTCCGATGTGATATAAGGACTGGGTCATCGGTTACAAACTTGATTTAGGCAACGTAACGTACAAGTCTACGCGTGTTGGTAATTCTTACATTCGCAAATCCCAGCTCAAAACCCAATGAAATGGCTGCAGCTTTGAGCCGTTAGGGCGCCACTCCATGCAAGGATGATTTGAGCGCATCGGACGAACCAATCTGGCCCCACAATGTGGCAAATGCTCTTCTTCGCGGGACGGTCTGAACAACCACTGCTTGCGGTCTGTGAAACTAAGGAGGTGAGCAATCCTTGGTGGATAAAAGCGCAACACTGCCACTCACTAGCCGGTTCATTCTTTCTGGCGTGCTGCATGTAGTCGCGCCTGTGGGAGCAGGAGCTGAAACTCTAAAATGCCTGAATGAGCAACACACCTGTGGTGGTTTGGCGGTGTTGTTTCGGGTTACGGGGTTCCCTGAGACACTTCCGAGCAAAAAAGAATAACTAAAGACTAAAGATCTGAGAAGGGAGGGGGCGAAAGCCAGCCTCTGGCTTAGGGGGTGCCCTCAGGGCAGGCCCGGGCAAAGACTTGGCGTGCAAGAGGAAGTGATGGTGTAACATCGGGCAAAGATTAATTTCATGGGGTGAAGTTGACATCGCAGCCACACTGATAGGAGGTAATGGAAAGTAGAAGACATAGGTTTGGGGGGTTGCCCTTTTTAAGAAGGGCATCCCTAAGGAAGTGAGGCGCGCTTTCCGGCGGAGTGTTGCGAATCAGTGAGCAAAAACGGCGGTGGGGGTTCATGTACGAGGCTTTGGGTAGGTGAGGATATATATAAATATATATGTAGGTAGAGTCCAGGTAGAGTGGACAAAGAGTAGCCGGAAGTGGTGAGGTTGATACTGGAGCGACGTGAGTGTGCAAGATGAAGTGATAGGCTGACATCATGCGAAGAGTACGTTTACCGGGTGAAGTTGGCATGGCAGGTACGCGATAGGATGTAGAAACAGACGGTAGAATTAAAAGGGGGGGTGCCCTTGTTCGTCCGGGTTCAGAAGTGTTTTGGAGGTGAAAAAGGGCACCCTCAAAGAGTTTATGTGAGTTTGTCGGCTGCGTGTTGGTAATGAGTGACCAGAGACGGTCGTGGGCGAGGCTATCGGCAGGCCTTCGTGAGGAAATAGGTACAGTGGACAAGGAGGAGCTGGAAGTGGTGAAGTGGAATGGCCGTCACTCGAGAAAGAATGGAAATAGAGAGTAGAATAGAGAGGTTTGGGATGGGTCCCTTTTTGCATCTTGATGTCGGGGCGTTGTGGAGAGGAAAAAGGCCACCCTTGTAGTCTGGGGAAGATTTGGTCTATGTTTCAAGTGAATTGAGGGCTGGCTTTCGTGATTAGGTATCCCCTTGTCCTCAACAGATGACATCATGCACCATGTGGGGTGACCTTTTCAGTCCAGCAACTAGGCCTTGCTACGAATAAAACGGGCACCCCTAAGCTATTCAGGACCTTCCGCCTCCACCGCTTGCCCGCTGCAATCTCTTCTCTCTCCTGCCCTCAACAACCCCCCAATCCACGTGAACTCTCACTGCATAGGGGGTGCCCTCTCCAGTCCGGCAGCAACGCTAAGCTTGGCCGCAACTACAATCTGTTCTCTCTCCATGGCCTCCTGAGCACCGGACAACTCCAAATCGTCTGCCTCCAGCGCTTGCTCGCTGACCTTCTCCAACGCTTGCCAGCTGCACTCTTCCCTCCTCCCCTCAACAACCCCCCAATCCACGTAAACTCACCAGACAGGGGTGCCCTCTTCGTTCGGTTCGCTCGCAGGCCCTCAACAAATGGCATCATGCACCCCATGTGGGGTGCCCTTTTCAGTCCAGCACCTAGACCTTGCTACGGGTAAAACAGGTCACCCCTAAGCTACTCAGGACCTTCCGCCTCCAACGCTTGCCCGCTGCAATCTCTTTTCTCTCCTGCCCCCAACAACCCCCCAATTCAACCTGAACTCCCACCGCATAGGGAGTGCTTTCTTCAGTCCGGAAGCAACGCCAAGCTTGGCCGCAACTACCATCTGTTCTATCCACGTGAACTCGTGCCCTCTTCAGCCTGGTTCTCCCGCAGGCCCTCAACAGCCCATATGGGGTGCCCTTTTCGGTCCAGCAACTAGACCTTCCTTCCGCCATCTTCCGCCTCCAACGCTTGCCCGCTCTTCTCTCTCCTGCCCTCAACAACTCCCCAATCCATGTGAACTCCTACCGCATAGGGAGTGCCCTCTTCAGTCCGGCAGCAACGCTAAGCTTTAGCCGCAACTACAATCTGTTCTCTTTCCATGGCCTCCTGTGCCCCTCGTGATGCTGATGATGCACTCTTCGGCGTCAATTGCATCACCGGCATCACAACACACCTTTTTCATTACCAAGTGGCCCGCCTCTTTTTTTCGCTCTCCCTCACCAGGCTCTGGGTTCACCTCTCCGAAATTGGCCACCTCGCGACCACCCCCCCCACACCCCCTTTGCTCACTTCGTTCGCTCCAGTTTACAATGGTTAAGGGCTTTGCCCGGGTCCCTCAGCTAGATGTTTTCCAAAGGCTCCAGGTGGAAAAACTTTTACAAAAAGTTGATCTTTTGCTGCAATGAAATCCGTGGCAAACACGTGTAAAAAAATGCTTAAAATGTTATCTTCAAGCGCTTTGCCCGGTTCCCTCCCAAAGCGCGGTAAAAAACGGCAAAAATGTTTGCGCAGTTCGATTGTTCGATTATATAATTGAACCAATCGTCACAGCAAAATATTGAGCCGGGCAGAGCCCAGCGGTAGATGTTTGAGCCCAAAAATGGGCTGATGACATTTGATGACCCACCATACCCTTTCCAGGTTTTCAGCGCATTTCCTTGGGCTTGTTGTAATTCAGAAGCACATCATGAATAGCCCGTTTCCGCACGAGATGCGTTTCTAAATCTCCGAGGCAAAAACGGTAAGAATCGAAAATGGTCTTGTCGGGTCCTCAGCTATGAATTTTGCCGCAAGGTGCGGTCCCTCAGCTATGAATCGCGGTAAGCCGGTAAGTCAAAAAATGTATTTCTTATTCTGTCCTTACTGTTTCCTCTGTGGGGGTTGCGGTCCGGACCTGCTAGCAACACGACGCTCGTGCACAATCAAAGTTATTCCTGTTCCTAAGCTGAGTTGGATAATGTGACCTTATCGGCCGAGATCCAAAATATCGCATCAACTCGTGCAGTGATACCGACCAAATTGTTTTGCTCTACTTTCCCCCCACCCTTCCCCGTGTGGCCTTGAACCTCGTTGTGCTTTTTTGTTTCAGCACTCTGACTGACAGTCTGGTCACGTCTGGTCTAAATAAACACGCGCAGGAACAGAAGTCTTGCGGAGTCTCGTGGCAGCGAAGCAGAAGTGGCATTGAAACAGTGTCGACTCCCACGATAAAAATGGTCAAAGCGATCTACATCTGGTTCTTGACTGCCACAAGGACGTGTGAGGGCTCACACTTTGGCCAGTGGAAGGATCATTGAAACAGAGGTGACTCAGCATGATCACATTCCGGCTCGAGGCCATTAAAGACTTTCAGACAGCACAACCCTGGAGGCACTTCAGAGACGGCACGGCCTCTCACCACTCGTTTTGGGATACTCATCTGCTGCACTCCTGGGATGTTTTCCGCCGGTCAGCTTCCGGCTGCCAAGGCATGAAGGATCTCCTTTCACATCCTTTGACAGAATGCCGTACAACTTACGGCCTCAATTCGAGTGCAAGTCAAAAGGGCCCGACGTGCAGCTTAGCACATTAAGAATGAGTAGTGAACATGGTAGAACGACAAGGACAAATCTTGAACACCCTGGCATAGATGGCCCAATGGAAGTGGGTGGTGAACACTGCATATACGCAAAAAAAAGTCGTGTTCTCCAGTCCCGTCATTCTCTTTCCCTGTCCTCTCACTTTTCCCTCCCTTTTCCTTTCCTTTCCTTTCCTTTGATTTCCTTTCCTTTCCTTCCCTTTCCCTTTCCTTTGCCTTTCCTTGCCTTTTCATCTCCTTTCCCTTCCTTCCCTTTCCCTTTCTTGTCGGCCATCCGTTTCCTTTCTCTGATTTGTTTGCGGTATGTGTACCACAGTGTGCCATCCTATAGTGCACACCGACACCAACCATTGAAAAATATGGAAAGTATGTTTCTTTCGCCCGCGTGCGCCATCTTAGCACAGGTGCCTTGGTGTGGCCCATGTGGCCATATCCCACACCAGTGGGGTCACCAGCTCTTTCTTAGATTTGATTGTTCTCCTTTACTTTCCTTCAACTCCTTTCCCGGAAGTTCCTCTCCCTTCCTCAGTTTGTGCTCTTTCAATGATGTACTATAGTTTAGATTAGAATGAGGTAGAGTATTTGTGCTTGTACTTTCCCTGATGCTCTGGCTCTGACACTGTATATATATATATATACATATCACTCGTGCCATCTTTATACTCCGGTGCTTGATGTATGCCGGGCCCATGTCAGTACCGTGTACATGGCATAATGATATATTTCTACTCGTGGCATCTTGCCGTGAGTCCGCATAAGAAATAAAAGCACATGGGGAAGGCAAAGGTCGGCCCGTTGAAGCTTCAATCAAAGGGAAGCAGTCCGCCCTTGAAGCCTTCTCGTCAAACAATTCAGCCTTGGTTAACAAGGCGGGGCACAAACAGGACAGGCACGGCAACTTGCTCGCCTTTGGCTGTGCGCATTCCCAGCTCGCACTTGCGAATGTGCCACAGAATGCTTCATGCGACAAAGCGGCAACTGAGATTGCTGAAGAGCATTGTGAATTGAATAGAAAGAACATGACAGAACCAAACATAGACACCCAACCACACTCTATTGTGAGTCTGGCATCGTCAAACAACCATGTCGTGGTCAAGAAGAATAGTGAGGGACTTTGGCGTGTCTCCAGGAAGGTTTCTGCAGCTGTGGACTCAATGCGAAGAGGTAACTACCGCTTCATGAGGCCGTGGTTGTATCTTGTGCGGCGTCATGTCTTGATGTTGACACATCTTGCTCTTCAACCTTCTACTGACAAGAACCGCTTGGACGCAGGGTTGCGCAGCATACTTACACTGCAACCATGAGACTTCAATTGATGTCTTTTTAAAGGTGACGTCTTGGGTGTGCACAACCCTGCTGCAAAACATGCACAAATCCCGAAAACCAAGCGCTGGATGCTGCTTGGTGTATCTGTGCAAGTGCATTATGCAGCACCTCCAACAAATATCAAGAAATTAAAGACGATTCTGGACATAAAAAGGAGCTGCCATAAACGAGGGCTATCCAACGGCCATCCCGACGATCCCAAGTCATGCGGCAATCCCTTTCTCGCGGTACGAGAACGCTTCATGCTGAACCGGACCCGTGGGCGCGCGGTACGAGAATGGATCCATACTGACTGAAGTCACTTCATATTTGAAGGCTAGATCAACATGGCATATCATACACTCCCCCATCCTGCCGCTGACTTTAGGAACAACCACACATCCCACTTTCAAACACACTTGAGCAATGACACCAACTATAACCTCCGTTGGATAGCCGCCAGTTGAATCAGTGGCAAGGTTCAATGGCTGTCTACATCTGCAAGACACGCTGGATTTGGGGATTGCTTCGCTGAAACCGGCGATCTCAGACCAGCGGACTCCATAAGCCTGTCTGAAATGGAGCAACAAAAACAGTTTGGTTGGCAAGTGAGGCCCAAGCATGCAATCTGCACCTGCCACAGGAAACGACATTAATCATTAAAGGCAAAAATGAAAGACATGACTTGGCCTTGGTCACCTTGTTACACACAAATGTTGAATGTCATCCCAGGCAGTGTCTACGTGGGGCATGATGCGTCTTATTCTCATCGGATGTGTTTTTCTTTGTTTACAAGCACGGTGGTCTCTGGGGTGCAAGGTCAGTCTCTTGTGATTGCTTGTTGATGGTGCAACTCTCAAACGTCAGTTCTGTGGCCATCACAACAGCGTGGTTGGCAACAGCTGCTAACACCTCTGACTACTCTATCAATCATTTGTGGTTCCGAACTATTTCAGCGACTTGCTCCACATTCTGTCGAAGGAGTTTGGCAGTGCGGCACTCGAAGTGGAAACCGTGCAGAGTGTGTGTGTGTGTAGGTTGCGTAGGTGAAACTCGAGGACAAAAAGAACGGGTGAACCCGTATCATCACTGCCCTCGACCAAATCCAACTGCTAGAACGCACAGGGTTGCATGCTAGGTCGCATTGTTGAAGTTAAAGGCTTTTGGCGGCATGCTCTATATAATATATATATATACATATATACACACATATATATATATATACGGTAGATGATTATGGCTCATGACGCAACTTGCAAGTCCTTACACACCTGTTCGCATACTTCTCTACGAGAACCACATTAGTGGTGGGAGCAGCGTGCTTTCCTATGCGCACGTGGCATGAAAGAAAACATATCAAACTAATCTTATACTGCATGATTATATGATGCACTACAATGCTGCACCATGTAAGCAAGCCTGCTTAATGTTGAGTTTGACCGTTTGACCTGGAGAAGGATACCTATATACAAGCATAAATTATAGAGAGTTGTCAAAACAACGGTGGGCCAATGCCGACATGGCATGTGACTGCCGTGTTGCACTGCTGACCCTGCCTCTAGGAATATCGGATCAATACTGGCTCGCCGGGGAGACAGTCTTCATCGCGAACATGCGGCAAAGGCGATGTTGTCGCCTTGCACAGAGGTAAACATTAAACATGGTCCGCTACATAAGAACTTGACACTGGCGGGGCCTGTCGCGGTCCTTTATTCTTACAGAGAAGCAAGGATCAACAAGGTTCTCCTCAATCACGCCGAAAGTCATTGGGCAGAGTGCGTCAGTATAGTACCATGTGGTACTCGGAGGGAGGGGGGGCGAGGGAGGTGGCCGTCAGATCTGCTCATCGGCCATTCCACGCTCCGTCTGGCCCGTGTGTGTTTTGCGTGCGTCACGTCTGCCCCCTGCCCCAAGAAGGTTCGAACAAAGCCCATCACATGCACAAGAAGGTTCGCAAATGCAAAAAGCCCATCTGCAAGAAACTCGCAAGGTAGCCTTGGACAAAGCCATGCGAAATGTGTCAAGTTGCCTTCTGCGCTGCCAAAGAGGAGACAGTGTCGCTCTCAACCCCTTCTGTGATCTTACCCAAACCTTGGACACAAAGACTGGCACTGCATTGTGAAGGAGAGAAAACGTGTACATATGTGTACATTCAACCATCCTTTCAGCATCAAGACTGTCACATCGTCAGCAGCCTGTCAAAGCAGAATCCCGGCACTCTGTGCTAGCAAGAAGCGAGACCCAGGAATGCCTTCGGACCTTAGCACAGAAAAACTGAGCATCAATGAATGTGATCCAAGGGTTGAACATCGACATGGCATTGGGAAAACATCAACTAGGTGTTCAACATCTGATTGAAGATTGAACCATCTTGCCGCTCAGTCAAAAAGTGGCACCATCATGCTGGCAAATGCATTACTTAACTTCTTGCAATAGAAAGATCTCCACTCTCGCTGAGTCGAACCACTCTCGCTCTGTGCTCTTCCTTGGTCTTTGCTAGTGACGTGCCGAGTGCAACATCCCTGCATCTGAGCAACTTTGGAGGTGCAGAGTGTCTGAGACGTCCTGAAGTCACTACTCAGAAAAGCTTCAGAAAGAGATGAAGAAAGGAAAGTAAGGGTCTGGAGACCTTACCTTCCATCGTTCATCTCGAGAACGGACCATGCCATACACTGGGCTGAGTTCCAAAGTGCGGTCCGAGGCTCGAGGTTTCGCACCCTGCCTTGGACAGAGTGGACACGGACGGAACCTATAAGAAACAGCAAAGACTCATGTTTGGCTCATGTTCGGTTTTCACCTCCAAATGCGCGCCAAGACTTCAATACTGATGGCTCACGGTGCACAAATGTGAAGGGCTAGCTTTTGTGCTGCAACTTGATGACATATACTGTACATATATATATATATACCTAGGGCCATCCTAAGCCTACTTTAGGGTTTGTGCGGAATCGCGGAACCATTAAAAATTGCTGCCTGCAACCGCGGCGCAGGTCCCGGCGCAACTTCTCCGCTGCCAAGTTGGTCAACTGCTTCTCCAAGGGCTCAACGGCGCGCGGCCGCCTCGCAGGAACATGACCACGAGCACGAACACGACTTGAGAACATTAACAGTCACCACGCACATTCTTGGTATCTCTCTCTGTGTCAGGTGGCCAGTGGCACTCGAACGCGAAGTAAACTTGGTACACTTCTCGATGCGTACTTGGCGGGCTTTTCCACCTATGGCAACGGCGAGTGTCGCAGGTTCGGACCGCGGTCGGTCCGCAGGCATAAAGTGCCACAAATGGCCGAAGGGATCCCTTGAACCGCGGCAACAACCACGTGGGAACAAAGCGAACGATCCGGAAGCGAACTTATCAAATCCGAGGCGAGAAAACTCAGATGCCCCGAAGTTCGCTGGCGGATCTCCAACCACGTTGGATCTTTAGGATCCGGGATTTCGGAGCCCTGCTCAGCTGCCTTCTTCTTCACCTTCTTCGCAGGTTCCACCTTTGCCTCCCTTTGAGGAAGTTCGCAATGCCGTCCGCTGCAGACAGCTTGGTCATGCCATCTGCAAGCTGTTGGTGGGAGTTCACCCACCTCAGGACCGTGGCCTGCTCCTGCAGGTGTCGGCTGGCCTGGCGTGTGGCTCATGTCCTCTGCGATCAGGGCAACGGGAGTCTTCTGTTGTGGGATTGCTCCTGGAGACATCAAACCCTGACTCCGGTTGACGCTGGTCCGAACTCCCTTGGCCCTTGCCGTGGGTATAGCCCTTCCCATGGCCTTTGCTTTGGTCGTTCTCCTTGAAGTTCGCGTCCTTCGCGACCTGGGTCTTGAGCCACTGCTCCTTCTTGGCCTGGACCATCTTGAGCTGGTCCATGATGCTGCGCTCCTGGGCGTCGTAGCCGATCTTCTTGTTCACAAGGGCGACTGATCCCTTTGCTGGCTTCTTCTCTTCGATCTGCTTGCTGGTGTCTTGGTGCAAAGGGCCAGCCCGGAAGAGTTTCCAAGTGTTCCCCAAAGCATGGTGGACCTGATGTTCTCGGGTCCTCCTTGTCGGGCCCTTGGGTCCTGGACCAGTCGTACTTCTCCTCGGCCGGAATGGCCTTCTTGGTCGCCGTCTTCTCCTTCTTGGGCGCCATGGCAAGGAGAGTGAGGGGGCGCAACGCTCGATGGGTTGATGAGCTGTTGCCAGATGGCGTCTCGCATCTCTTGAGTCACTGAGGGCAACGGGCGATGTGCATGGTGATCATCCAAAAGGAAAACTCCATCTCCATACAACTCTTCACCTTGACTACCTTCATCACCTTCATTTTCCATCATCCAAACACCTTCAACAACATCACACGACAAAGCTGAAGCTGACGAAGTGGGTGAATGCACACAGCAATGGACATGCTCAGAAGGAACTGAACTGGTGGTGAATGAAGTTGTTTGCAACCACGACGATCGGCAAGGCTCCATGTACGCTCGATGGTTTCCAGCGTTGGTCAAAGGCTGACTCACATTGAGCCAATCCATGGTGAGACTCACCAACAAGTGACCTGCTCGACTCTTAGCCAAAGGGATCTTCACCTCAGGCGAGATGGCTGAGAGCACCAACCAACGGCCACAAACATCAATCAGCGCTCCCATCTTCTCTAAAGTCTTCATGCCGATCAAGATGGGCACTTTCTCAGCGTCGATCGTGCACACGCCAAGTGACACTAATCTATCTCCAAGGCGCTGGGGAACCATGACATAGCTTGAGGAGACTTGTACTCCACCATTGCCAAAGCGAAAAGGTTTCTTCGACGAAGGTCCACCTCCACCGGTTCTTGGATTCCATGGACGGAACTGCGGATCTCCATGAGAGCTTCCAAGGCCCCAAGTGAGCCCACAGTCTCTGTAGCTCCTAGGTCGAGCACACCATAGCCGTCGGTGTTGTGGCTCACCTCATTTTCGTCCATGACCATGCCCACAAAGGCGAGGGGGGATCCAGTCAAGGCTTCAACCCAATAGGTTCCTTTCTTTGAACCTTTTCCAAAAGAAGGACTTGAAGAAGATGTCCTCTTGGGACAGTTGCGGAATCCGTGTCCCTTGTCACCACAAATGAAGCAGCCCACGCTCGAAGAAGTCGTCGAACCTCCTTCACGACCTTGAGTTGCAAATAGTGGCTTTGGCTGCGACGATGAAGAGCTCGAGGATCCATAGCTTCCACTGCCCTTACCCTTCTTGAACTTGCCCTTGGACTTTCCTTTCTTGCCTTTCATCATGCCCAAGGGGTAGAAACCTCGGCTTGCACCTTGTTGAAGCTGTCGACTCTGCATGAAGGCGCGAGCCTTGTTCTCGTAGGTCATGTAGGCTTCATCCAGCCAGCTCTTTGACCTCCTCAGGGTTCAAGTCCGAATAGCCTTCATCTGCACTCCAGAAAGCTCCATGTCCATCTGTTTCCAGCGAATACCCGTAGGCGTCTTGGCAATAACCATGCCATCCATCAATCTCCCAGGCCCAGAACACGTCGCCCTCCTCTGTGCAGCGCTTTCCATGATGCTGACCTCGAGATTGGTCAGCTTGGAGAACTTCTTCTTCTTGATCTCGAAGCGCCACCGCCTCAATGTCCTGGAACTTATAAGGGAGTTGTTCACCGAAGCCTGAACCGACCAACGGGATGCAGCACTCAGGTTGGCCCTTCTGAGCAACAGCCTCATCAGGTAAGACTTGAATCTCTTCTGTTTGCAGCTCGCCCCAAGGAAGGTCCTCACCAGAACTGGAGTCATCGTCGTACCAGTCCTTGCGTTGCTGCTTACGCCATTCTCTCCATTCTTCATCAGCCCATCCCTGACCAATATGGTCATCTTCATCGTCAGGCTCATGAGGATCTCGTTGGTGAATTTGGTGAACGGCAGCGTAGTCACCTTGCTCATCCTCAGACTCTTGGATGGGTGCCTGAGGTTCGGCTCCATAACCAGCTGTCCTGCGTGTTGGGCTCGTCGTTGTCCGGTGTGTAGGGCTCGAAGCAGGCGTCCTCCTTGTAGGCGACGTAGGAGGCTCTTGGCGCGGCTCCGAGACACTCTTCATGTCCTCTTTGCCCTTGGATCTCTGAAGTTGTCTTGCTCGGATGAGAGCTCGCTGAACCTTGCGGTAGCCCTCGAGCACCTCATTGGCCCAATGGCTCATAGCCGTGCCCAAGGGCCGACGTAGTCGGATCAACAGATCCTCCAACCTTGCTCCTGCGTCCGGAACCGCAGTGCGACAGAGGCGCTCTTGAAGGTACTTCAAGAGGTACTTGGTGCCATTGCGCTTTCCAAGCTTGCTGTGATCCAGGCTTGGAGTCACAGCCCATGCTCTCCCAGTGAGCTTGCTGGCCAACTCGGGCCCCAAGAGCTTGCGCTTGTGCTTGGGCGTCTTCTCCCAACATAGTCGAACCTGTCGGGCGTAGTCGTTCCAACCTGCTGGTTCTCCATTCCAGCTTGCCACCTCTTTGAAGTCCTTTGAGCTCACGAGGTCCTTCTCAAAAAGGTCGTGGGCGATGACCAGGATGTAGAGCTCCCCAAGCAGCAGCCAGCAGCGCCAGGAAGAGCGTGTCGTGGTCCTCGAGGATGTACTTGGAGAGTGGTCGTAGGCGAGGCCACCGTTCTCGGAGAGGTCGGCCTCGAAGATCTTGATCTCCAGCCCGGTCAGCAGACCGAGCGAGCCAGGCAGGACCGCCTGGCTCCGCTACCAATGTCAGGTAGCCAGTGGCACTCGAGCGCGAAGTAAACTTGGTACACTTCTCGATGCGTACTTGGCGGGCTTTTCCACCTATGGCAACGGCGAGTGTCGCAGGTTCGGACCGCGGTCGGTCCGCAGGCATCAAAGTGCCACAAATGGCCGAAGGGATCCCTTGAACCGCGGCAACAACCACGTGGGAACAAAGCGAACGATCCGGAAGCGAACTTATCAAATCCGAGGCGAGAAAACTCAGACTCTCTCTCTCTCTCTCCATCGCCCTCTCCAGGAGATTAGCCTTTTGATGCCTTTGGCTAAGGCGAGCAAAATGCCCAAAGCCCTCGATTATGATGCTTTTTTGTGCTTGTTGCGCTAGACACGAGTGAGATTCAATCACACCCGAAGACTCGCGGAATAGAATGTGTAGAAAAGAAGAAAGAGAATGAGACGAGATGCTAACACAGTAGAAACTGCCCGAATTGAAAATAGGCAGCTTGTGGGAACCCTGGGCGTGACCTACTTCACCCTGCTGTTCACTCCAAAACGTGATCAGGAATCGCGAATCACGAATCACCACGATATAGACCAAGAGCTGAGAGGGAGAGTGAAGAACACAATTGCCCAGAGGAGGGGAAGCTATTGGACACCCGTGACACTTCTGGATGACGATCTCCGAATCGCCCTTCCTCCACAAGTGATTCCACAGGCCCCAAAAGTGGCACATCTCACATTGACGCATACTACGAGCACTCCAGATCCATGGCTGCCATATACTGCCGTGGTTTATGCCGTTGCCCAGTCTCTTTGGACCCCTCTTCCGTCGCACCTGAGGTGTCGGTACAATCCCACCGCTCGAGAATACAGACTGCGGCGAGGCGTTGCCTCGGGCGTCTGAATCCTGGCCCGTCTGCGCCCGCTTCCCCTTCTCAAGATGCTGCTTTATGCATGAAGGATTGGCACAGGTCACATGCACGCCTGCATTTGTTGCTTAAGGTGGTTGTCATAGATCATGCTAAAGTAATATACCACATATAACATATATATATATATATACAGTTAAATAAATATAATATAATGTATAATATATATATATATAGTTCTCCATTATTGCATGTCAGAAGTGAGTGGCTGATCTAGTGCTCCTCTGCTCTGCCCAAGAGTTCTCGGAAGATCTCTTGGTTGCACTAGAGTTCCTGCACAAGACGGAATTACACTTGGATGTCTTGGTCTCTGAGTTGTTTCCAAATCAACCGAAAGCATCAATACTACCCTGGCCTCAGGCATTCTGATGTCGCCACGCACGCTTGGCCTTGGCAGTGGCTAAATATGCAAAAACCTCCCTGACGCCTGACACCCCGTTCGTGTGTCAAGGACAAGTGGTGGTGGCCAGCATGACCCAAGTCAAACAAACCTGAGCCTGCCGTCGAGATGCATTCCTCATCGTTGCCATTTGGTACCTTCCAAAATGAACACTTGGGGCGTGTAATGGTGGGTGGCCACAATATCATGGAGTTCAGCTTGGAAGAATTATACAGTAGTGATCAGTAATGTGTGTTTCCGTGTTGTGCTGAAGAGGGGGAGAGGCCAGGACTGAGGATGTAGGCTACTAGTAGCTACGAGTAACTAGTAAGTATCGCTTACTAGCAGCTGGGACGCAGGAAAGCTCAAGCTTCTTCGAGGAAGCTCCCCCCCCTATTCATTTGGTTCCTAGATGTTTGGGAAAGCTTAAGTTGCGTGAGTTTTTTGCGAGACTGCAAACTCGACAATCTTGGAGGATTCTCTTAGACGCTTCACAGCAGCGCTCCAGGCTCTCTCACACGAAAACAAGATCAAAAGCAACAACCCTTGCGTCGGCCGGCCTTGGGACTCTTCAAAAAGTCCCAACTTCGCATGCGCTCGGCAGTCATAGAGCCGAACGGCTGCATCATGATGTGAATCGAGAAAGGCGTGAGATGGACTAGTGGCCAGTTGACACAGCATCCACTTCTAGGTCTAGATCAACTCTAGAAGCCCCAAGATCCTTGGGACCTTGACTCCGCTTTGGCCTTGCCAGCTTCAAAAGTCCCAGAGCCACCCTCTCTCCCTCCACCAAATCTACCCTCTCTCTGTCCCAGTGCTACCCTCGTGCCTCCACAATGTGCGGGCGAATTCAGCCTCAATTCAAGGCCAGCAGGGAGGCAACTCCCTTGAATCGACTTGGTCTTGCTAGCTGCAGCTTAAAATCAAGGACAGTGAACTGCAATCGTAGCCATTAGTGGCTGATATTGGCTGGGCTGTCAATGGTACGTGTGCGATAAATTTTAACATGACTCATAACAATGTTCCCATATCTTGGGGCGAAAGGTTCTCTGCTGAAACAATCACATGTTCTCAAACACTCTCGTGGACCTTCACTTTTCTCCTCGTGGACCTTCGTTGAGCAATTTAAAAAGAACCCTCAGCGGAAGACTGTGGATTTTGCCCACCGGAGCTGGGGGTCAAATGAGCTGGAACAAAGAAACAGGCAACAAAGGTCACTACAATTCACTTGCGTCATCCTGCTAAAACTTCGATGATCACAAGCAAAAGGCAAGCTCACCCCTTCAAAAGACAGTTGCACCATTTCCAAACGGCAACTCTGGTTGAATTTGCCAACTTATTCCCTTCCACTGCAGTCAGGTGGAATCATTCTTGGCCAGTGACGACCACACATCCTGGGCTGCCACTTCCCACAAGGCACTAGACTCAGCTACACTCTGGGATCTAAAAATGTTAAAGCGTTCATCGAATGCTATGGGAGGCTCACAATAAGGATAGGCCTGAAGCGATTCAACAAAATTGCAGACAACAAGTTTCTTGCTCAGAAGCATTCACCACATTTGCCTCAGAAATCGAGACAGAAACAAAAGCTGCGGAAGAGACTAAGACACGAAACCGCTTCCCTCACTATCCTATCTCAATGCGCCCAAGCGTCACCCGCATAAATTCCTGCACTCATTGTTCCCAAGCACACAGCCCATGAAGGCAAGGACAAGCCTGCTTCGCTCCATGTCACATCTCTCCACACCGAAAATCAACAACATGGAAGCTGATGAAGCTGGCCGCTGGCTGCTTTTGACATGAAAAACTCACATGCGGTGGAAGATTCGTAATGCTAGCACCTGTCGCTAGGATGGGGCCAGCAAGGCACCCTGCCGCACCACCTCAAGGTGAGTGGACTTCCGACTGGACTCGGCCACTGTTCGATGAAGTGGCAAAATCAGGACATGCATAGAGATCATAGAGGCCAAATTCACAAACTTGGACTGATGCTAAGCCAGTCACCAAGACAGCAGGGAAGGTATCTAACAAAGTTTGCCTCAGGCCAGACTGTCTAGCCCATGTTTTTAGTTGTGACATGCATCTGCATGGACACGACATCATGCGACAACCATTGTCAACATTTCAATGGACCTTCACGGCGTTTCTTCCTGTACGTTGCGGTCTTGCGGGAGTGAAGAATTGCTAGAATCTTCTAGAGATGCTAGGGTGTGCAAGCAGCCTGAACAAACAAGAAGGACCAAAAAAACATGGCAGTCTGGGCAACCTACCAGAACAAAGTTCAAGTCCGGGCCATTCGTTGGAGATAGAGAGCACATCTTCTGCATTCGTCTCGAGGATTCTCTTCGAGCCTCTTCCAAGCAGTCAACCCACAGGTCCTCAAGACTGCATTGCTGCAATGGCTCGAGAGTGACTCAAACCTTCACGGGTGAACTTTGAGCTAGTGATCTGATCGAAAGAATCGGGGTTCAGTGCATAGAGTCTATATACACAAAGAGGATACACAATCAGCATCTGATAGCGTCATAAAAATACAGCAATGCAAGCGTAGGCCTGATCGAGTTATATAGTCCCAAATGCATCGTTCTTGAAATGTGGGCTAGTTTGTATGGCCAAGATTTTCCACCTTTTGCTTACGTTGCAATCAAGCCAGTCCTGTGGAACAAAAGACAGAGCACGCTGATCTTCAAGCATAGCAACAGCACCAATTTCAATGTCCTGTCTGTTCAGAGTTTAAACCAAGTTCTTGTCCATTCCAGTCTTGGAAAATGTTGTATAACTGTATATAATGATACAATGTCACAACAATTTCGAGACCCTGACTTTCCGCAAGTGCGGGGCGGCATGCTGAATCGACGAGCCACTGTTCAACGCAGCCGCCAATACAACCTGTGAAGGAGCACGAGCAAAGTGTTGAAAGATCCATGAACTTCCCAAGTCTGCTGTGCCTTGCCACACAGTATGGAACGGCAGGGGCTGTAGAAGAGCGAGCTAAATGCATGTCACACGGTTCTGGTCCTGAGTGTGGCCTCACGGTCTGCTCGCAAAGCGGATGCATATCGTAGAGCATGGCCATCCTCAGTCCAAAACCGTCATGCGTCCATCGGCACTTCATCGAAACAGTTCAACAGCTGTCTTTTTCATGATTAACCTGTTCATTCATGGTGCTTCACAACAAACAGCCGTGCGATGAGCCTATCTCTTCACCCCGCCCTCCTCGCCTTAGCCACAGCAGCGAGGGCAATTTCTCGGTCCCGCCGCAGCGCAGGATCAGCAAACCTCGGTTCATCTTCACAGTCGACCCAGTCGGCTTGGTGTGCTTAGCTTTGTCTCTGGGGATGTGACTTCAAAGCAGTTCCCCTTGACTTCACTGCTGCCATGACAATCTCCCTGGCAGAAAAGAAGGTTGAAGGCCACCGCTACTTAGGCCGCAAAGTTCCGACACACAGCCCCTCTCCCGCCACCTGAGCCAGGGAGGGACCTTTCTGCAAGGAAAACGCCATTCCTAGTAGGTTGGAGGCCATCGCTAGTAACAGGTTCGGATATCACGTCAGGAGCGAGACCTCAAGCTGCCAAGCGATGCACAGTTCTGCGGGCCTATCATTCTGAACTTTCGGGAAGTGTTCCAGGGCATGGCCGTCTTCACATACCGCTTCCAGCGCAGAAGCCCATGACGGATCCAAGCATAAAAGCTGGAGCTCGAGAGTAGTCTGATCTCTGCCTCACGTTGCAGCAACACAATCCATCAGTAAGGCTTACCATGGCTTACGAAATGCCTGGCCACCCTAGCCGCTAGCCTTTGCATCAACTCCATGTCACTTCCAAAGGACTGCCATATGCAGCCTTAAAAGGCCCTCATCTAACCTTCATCGTTTTGCTGTTGTTCGTTGGACCTTCGTCTGACTGAAGAGTTTCTGTCCGAAGCGACTCAATGTGGCCAAGACGGAGTCTGAGATAACCTCGCCATCCAAGAAGAACCGCTGCTCACAGACCTTGGTGTTCGCTATCACCGCTTTTGAATACATGCTTCATACAATGTGCCGCTCACTCGACCTGACCTCATGTCAAAACAGTGAGTCTGGCTACGACTCCTTTCAGTGAAGGTGCCCGCAGCCATCCTCTAATTTCTTCGTGCGGGCTCTTTTGCAGATCATGGATTCCCAAGCATGCAAAGCTTGCAAGCCAGGTGGCTGGAACCTCCAACTGCTGCGAAACCCAAGACTTGAGTTCTGAAAGTGTGCCCGCGTAGCACTGACCTAAAGAAGACCCTGAAACGGCACTCTGGACGTGCACCAGCACCAGCGCCATTGCAAAAGACAATTGGACTCCAGATGTTCTGTGCTCAACGAGGAGGCAACCAACCAATCAACAAAGAGCTTGACCGCTTTTGTTGGGTTGCATCATGTTGCATTGTGCAACGCATCACTTCACAAGTTTCACAAGTTCACACGTCCGTCAACATGAAAGGATTTGATGGCTGTGTGGTCAGGGCTGGTTGAGCCACCTGCAGTGATGGCAGTGAACTCCCACAACACCCCGGTCTTCAACAACTTTAGGATCACTCATGTTGAATGCGCTCCCAAGCAAGTCACAGCAAGCCAAGGTTTGTGCTGGCCCAAGCGCTTCACCAGCTTGGCAGAATAACATGATGCCTTTCAACGAAACTGAAACAGGCTTTGTGTTGCCCTGTGTTCTCATGTTGTATTCCTCAATGATGGCAAATGCATATGCAATAATAATACATCTGTGTGCGTGCGTGTGCCGAAAGACTAAATCAATGCTCACATCTTCCCCCGCAAAACAACAATCGTCGAGTCAACTTCGAAGCATAGCTCGTGGAAGTCTGATGGGTGCTCTTTTTCAATCGATCATTGGCGTCGAAGGAGTCTTCTCAAGCTCCGGCACCTCAGCAACTCCACAAACGTAGTGGCAGTCCTTCGAGTCCTTTGACTACACAAGTTGTTGCGGGACTTCATGTGGCCTGACCACAAAGCCTACATCAAAGACCACATGGCATTAATAGTGTTCTCCGAATAACTCAGGTCAACACACGCTTGCGTGCATATGGAAAGCCACAGCAGCCGATGGCATCTGCTTCTCGGGGAGTCACATCTCCAGCCTCACAAGTCGTCAACGACTAGAGACAGGACGCATCTCCAAGGAGAAAAATGAGATGCGAGTCGCCAAGTAGCAAAAACTTGAATCTAAGCGCAGGAGCTCATTTTCCCCTCAACTTCAACCACAATGATCCTTTGATCTGCTTGCAGCAAAGATGCACGCGGACTAGCACACCTCAAGCAATGGTGCAAATGTGGCGCAAAATGTATGCAGTACAGGAACAGTTGGCAAACGGCACTGCCGACGGCATGCTCCACATCGGGTACGTTCTTTGTTCCGAAGTCTCTACTGCCAGCTAGCACCGCTTGCACAATCATGATGAATCGTAATGATCCCTGGCACAAGTCCTCTGCTTCAATCAGGCTGCCATTGCAAGGCTGCTAACTGCAAGCGCAAAGTCTTGCTATTGACCTGCTCGTCCATAAGCACCTTTGTTAAGGAAAGGGCTAGAACTAGCACCGAGTGAGATCACGCTGTGTTGCTCAATCTGATCTGGCACATTGGTCACGTCCACTTACCTTTTCAAAAAGACACATGAAAAGGCCCAAAGTGCCGCCTGCGACGCAAACAGCATAGCAAATGATCGCGATCGGTGCGATTCCAAGGGACGAAAGGATCGAAGGCCCTTTCCCCCTGGGTCTCGGTGTCGGCATCGCAAGTCTCCGGCAACTCTGCATCTAAGGAGGACCAGGTGACCGGATACACGTTGATTGGCACCTCAAACGTCAAGGCCTCCTGTCTCCCCAATCTAACGTATGAGATACATCTTAAATTGAACAAACTAGTCGGAATTATCTTTCTTTCTTGAAAATTAGTCCTTTCTTCCTTCTTTCTCTTTCCATTGTCTTGCCATGTCTTGCCGGTCGAAGGCTCGGACGCTAAATAACACAGTGATGAGGTTGGCCCACTGCGATTGGCGCAATCCTTCATAGCATGGACATGTCAGGCACCACCAAACACCCATCAAAATGCACAAATTAACAACGTCATGGCATGGAGGGCCTTTAATGCAGCGAAATGCCACCATAAGCGACTTAACCAATCCAGTGATGGAAATCCTGCCGGGTGTAGAACAGTGCTATCAGTACAAGCACTGTCACCTTTGCAGAACACAGAACCCGTGAACTGTATATACGGTATATAACCAGTTCCACTATATATATAGTTCAACAAACTCTGTGAACTGAGGATCTGACACGATCAACTGGAAAAGTGCATGGTTGCTGACCGAATACTCACAGCCGCAGAGGCAATCCACCTGGACCGCAAACGGTTTCTCACCGTTCGCCCGGTGACGCAACGCGGATCCGAGACGCGACGCGCCTTGCCAGGGACCCGGTGATCCGAGACGACCGTTCCACGGACCAGCCAGGTGAGTGCATACCATGGCCGCCAGTGTCGATGAAATGTCCTGGGCAGTGCGTTCATCTGGCAGTTCATCTGGCACTACCAGGGAGTGTCCCAAAAGGCTCAAATACGTCTGCCAACCTACGTACAGTTGCCCCTGATCTCCATCTGAGGATGGATTTGGTAAATGCAAACCTGCACCTTACTTACTTAACGAAGCAAATGGGGATCGTGACTAAGAACCGGTCCACACCATGAGCTGCACCAAGAATGCCAAGCCTTGGCGCGGAGTGGGCATGGGCGACAAGCCGCAATTGTCAACGCTCCGACACACACACACACACACACACAAAAAAAAAAGAAGAAAGAACACGTTTGAATCCGTTTGATCATTGGCGATGCGCAAACCGTGATCAACGTTTCAGGTTCGACGCCAAGGAACTGTACACGGCGCAAACGATGCTTTGTACAAAGACTGCAGCCCTTGAGAGGCGAATGGGGTGCGTCAAGAACAGTGCGACGCAAAGAGGGCTCAGCACGAAGACGGCCAGTCCTATCGAGCGCGACTGGATTGGTCTTGTTAGGTGTGGCGTAAAACATGGTAAACCATGAGGCTCTATGCAGGCAAAGGAGCCGAGATTCCAAACCACCAGAAATGGTATGCCTGCCAATGCAAGAAAAAAAAATTGGACATCCCGCCTTCAACACCTTCAACATGATGGGGAAATGGGAAAGATGGAAGTCGTGTCTTGAGTTCATGCACTGATGTTGATTACCTTAGGTGGTGCAGTGGAGCACAGCGGACTTTTTTGGATGAGGCATCCAGAGCTCACTTCAAGCGTTCATCCATCCACTCGCCCACGTCTTCGAGCTCCTCTTCACAAGCGCTGTGGCCCATGTCATACAGTCGCCAATCCACCGAGACCTGCTGTTGTCTTAAATGCTCCAGCCCTGCCTCAGCCCAAGCTAAGCGTACCATCTGATCAGCAGAGCCATGACAATGCAGTACAGGCGTGTGAAGGGCTTGTCGTGTTGGGCGGAAGCTTCGCGTGAATGGCAAGTAGCCTGACATACAAACAATTCCAGCAATTTGACAATCCAATGACAGTCCAGTGTACAATGACAATGCCCCCCCCTGGGAGAAACCGGCCAGGATGATTCTCTCCGACGTCATCCCGGCATCTAACTGCTCTTGTATGAGCCCCTCCACGGTCTTCCGGCTCTCCTCAATGCCATCGCAGGGCTCATCTGCTCTCTCCCCCAAACCCCGAATGTCATACCAGCTCGGCATGGCCATTCCACCATTCAACGAAACGGGTTGGATGGGTGCAGTGGGCAAGAGGAAACGCGTCTGTGGCAACGACGCGGCCAAGAAGTGAGCACCGTGTAGCCAACCTTCCGCCGTGTCGCCTAAGCCATGCAGAAATATCACGCAGGACGAGGGCTTCTCCGGCCCAAGGCGTAAAGTACTGAAGAGGCGCCCTGCATGGCGACCATATGCCTTGACAAACATCGCATGAAATTTTAACAATCTACTCTTGTCTGTATCTGAGTGCGTGCGTGTGGGTGTAACGGGTGTGTCATCGCACTGTCATGATGAAGCCTCAAGATCATCGCATTGATGTCAAGCCTGTGCCCATGCTTTTGATCGATAGATGCCGGCTCTAGGCAACGATAATCCAAACAAAGTGATAAGGTCTAAACATGTCTAAACGCAATAAGCTACTAGGAACAAGTGCATCGCTTCTAGTAACAAGTGCCTTAGTAGTAGTAACAAGAAGCTATTAGAATTAGAATTAAGTTAGAATTAGCCTGAGCAATCCCAACATCGCCACCCGTCCCTTCACCACAGCTCTCTCTTTCTCGGTTCCCCACCCAGGCGCGACAGCAGCACTGCCCCACGCCCCAGGCCACGCCGCCGCAGGATGCGTTTGCAAACACCAAGGCCGGTCAGCAGCGACTGACAAAAACGGCGTGATGTTTACAAACATAGGTAGAAAGGACGCTACTAGGAGCAAAGGGCATCGCTACTAGGGGCAAGGACGCTACTAGGGGCTACTTCTTAGGTCACCTAGGTACTTCTTTCTGCACAATGGTCAGTAGTGCATTGCCAGAAAATGACGTCAGCGCCTTCGATCTAAGATCTGTGAAAGGTTGAAATCGGAACACCCATCTTGTCCAATCGTCCTCTTCGAGAGAACAAGAACTAAACGCAATGCTTGTAGCAATGATAGTCTTTTTTGCTCTTTGACCCCTCATTAAATTACTATGGGTCTACAGTGCATACAAGCACCTCCACCAGCCAGGTCTCTGGGCCGGCCATTCGTTGAATCCAAACATCAATGCTATTGACAATCTGACACCACACCCACAAAGCTCCACAATACGTTCAAGTGGCAAAGGACCGCCGCAGGATAGGAAACTGCCAGCGCAGGCTTCGGAAATCCATGATTTCCCTCAGCATCCAGCGAACAATGTGGCGCTCCCACCAAGCCCCCCTGCTGCTGGCTAAACAGCGTCCCGAAAACCACCTGCATCAGTCAATCCAAGTTTCTCTCGCTTGGCAACACTAAGAAGTGCCAGGTCATGGGTAGTAATGCCCAGTAGCAGCAGCAGCGACAATACTAAAAAGACCTCCGGCCAGCGAACGCTGGGAAAGACAAATCAAGACCACCCTAGACCTCCCTGTGGCAAAACAAAACCCACAGCACTTGGCAAGCGAACGATGTCTTGAAGTTGCAAAGAGTCCAGGTAGCTGCCAGAAATTAAACACAATGAAACCAATGTACTTCTTGAAGCTGTTGCGAGCAATGGTGTCCTTTTGGAAAAATTGATGGGCCGGTTTGACACCATATACCTATTAGTTGCACACTTGAGGGGCTCTATTATATAACCAACCCACCACTAGAAAAGGGCCAACTATGGTTGGGGCATGGCTCTTATTGGAGCTTGTGCCAGTGCCAGCTGCGGAGACGGACTGCCTCCGTCAAAAGCCTTTCAAGACCCTCCCATTCGTCCACCAGCCTTAGCCCACCAGCGGAGCCAGTCGATACGGCCAGCTATGGGGAGCATGTGCCCTCAGCAGCTCATGCTGGCTCATTCCAGCCTTGTGAAGTATTTGAAGCCGCTCCCAATCAAGGAATTCTTCTACAGTCCAATGCCCTAGGGTCCAACAGGGTTCGAGGCGTACTGCCACGCCTCGCTGTCAACAGGAAACACGCACCCGCCATATGATGTGATGCAGCCAGGAATCCATTGATGCTGGACACTGGAACCTGAACGCTACTGCAAGTTGCGTTCCTGGGCTGTGAGAGGGTTGGGGCAGAGTCTTCCTGAGACTGAGCATCTTGGATTGAGTGAGGCTGAACCTTAAAACATCCAGAGATTGGGAAACTTTCAGCTCAGACTCAGCATGTCCTCTACGTGACATTCCAAGACGTTGACGATCTCGTGCTCATTGTGTTTGTGCCTCATCTTTGGCTGGCTATTGCAGTGACTTGACAGTGTTTGGCTAAAACCAAGAATTTCTGAGCTCAGCCAGGACTCAGCCATCTCAGAATCTCAAATTCTCCCACTGGTGTGCCGTTGCAACATGAGTCCTCTCTTAGAGTCACAAATGTGCTGCCTTACACCGTCACTTCCGGTCTTACACGGTTCGCCGATTTAAATCGGATCTCTCCAAGATCAGATTCATGTGTCCTACGGGTCTCTGTCAGGGCTCTGCCGTCGAGCCGCTCCATCTTCAACAGAAAATGCGACATTTTCTTGTCAGTTTGCCACCTGAAGCATGACACTGCTAGCAGCATGGAACATTCCAGTAGCATCCTTGCTCCTAGTAAGGCCAGGAGCCCCTAGTAGCGTCCTTGCTCCTACAGTGTAGAGAGAACGGATGTCTGTGGTCGTGAATGAACTGAACAGCCACGTGCGAGAACGGAATACCCACGAGCATGTGCGAATGTGCTGGAACCGGGCCCATCACTGCAACAAGTCTGCAGTCAAGGCAATTTGACAATCGAAATCGTTCAGTGCCAATGTGGGTGGATGGAAGGAGAAATAAAACTCAAGGTGTGAAAGCGAAGGCCTGTATCCTGTGGCCACAAAGCACTGGACTGCATCGTAGCCCTCGTTGCGAGGGCTGGCGAGGTCCAACTGGCCAATGCTCAAATTCATCATGAAATTGAACCTTGCGGATGAAATCGTCATGGTCACTGTACCACAAAAGAAGGACAAGAAAATACAAGGTGAAAAGGAAAAAATACATCTGTGTTATCTTTAATCTAGATCCCCCTCGGCTCTTCTTGGAGCCTGGCTTCCACAAAAAGCACACCACATGAGTGTTTACAGAAGTTTGCCCCAGTGCCTAAATCAAGCTAATCAACTACATCATGCTGGAGCATCGTTCCGACTGGTGTCGAAATGGCTTGCCATGGCTTCTTGCGCAGAGTTCATGCTTGGACCGTTTTTTGGGTGCACTTTGCGGCCTTCTATCAGTGGAAGAACAAAAGCGGCCAGTCACAAAAGCCACGCCACATGGCAATCCCGATGCTCGCGGTGAAAATGCTCAGAGCAACCACTTTCACACGAGAGGCCCAGTGCGGGGGAACGCCGGCCTGGCCGTTCGCGTCACAACTCGTGGTTTTCAGGCATGTCAACACCTAGAAATCCAACAGGCCACATCTCTGCAGAACATGCTTGAACTTGCGCATGTTACATGTGGCTGAAAATCACACCTGCTGAATGTATGCATGCCCCTCACTTGTTGCCAGGTCTAGAGCAAAGAGACGTGTCTTGAATTCTGCTATTCCATAATAAGTGCAGTATCGCTGTCCTACTGTAGAAGAATGAAGGCCTTGCGTGCCCACATGCCGGGTCTGCGGGCACTTTGGCCACGCACGGGTCTGTGGAATCTGAAGCTTTGTCAGGTCCCAATGGGCCTCGGAATGAGAGCCACGGCGTTACTTTGTCGTCGGTTGGTGCTACTGGGTTGTGGCTGCTGACACTTGCCTATCATGAATAAAAATGGAGGGCACAAAAATAAGAGCACCTTCAATCAGCAGCTGGAATACCTATTCCTCACTGCCCTGGTCGGCCTTATGGAAACAGTCCAGTTCTTCATCTCATATTGTTCAGCGGAGATTTTTTGAGCCTAGACGGCTGCAAAAGCAGCGGTCTCGCTGGAAGTGGCTGCCTGGCCAAACTTTTTCACACTATGGCACTATCTACTCTTCAATGAGGCTTATTCGAGGTTCATGACATGGGTGCCACATTCCATATCAAAACTTTTCAATACACCTGACTTCGGCAGACTTTGGCTTTGCCCACACGGCCTTCCGACAAAAGCAAGCAAAGAAATTGAAGCCACTCCGAAGGAGAAGAGGCTTTCTTGTTCAGAGGTCCAATCCAAAAGCACGTATAGTATAGTTCCCTCAATCTGTCACTGCGGCTGCCTAGATCATGCAACACTGGAGCAGCAGTTGCGAGGCAGAGACGGTTCCAACTGTGAAATGCGGAAATGTTTGAATGTTCGAAGGCGTTCGAAGATCGTCTCAATGTACAGTAATATATTCAGTTGTTTGGACAGCGGCCATTCTAATCTACAGATTTCTACGTCGTGCAGCGGAGTCAGTTCCATGATCAATGCCTGCTGCTATTTCTCCACAAACATCAACCAAGACCAATTTGCCAATATAAGCAGATTTACATGCAGCATCATGCAGCTGCAACGCAGGCAGCGATTCTTGAGCCTCATATGCTGATGCGGCGCATGACAAACCAAATGAAACAAAGAAAACACAAACCTGAACCTCTTACAGTACAGTAATTACTTAGCCGTGTTGGTGGAACGACAAGAATGTGGACACCTTTTCCATCCTTGTCCATTTTCAGGCTCCGCAGCATCATCGGCCCCAGTTCGCCAGGCTTCGCCATCAGAAGACTCGGCAATGCTTTCTCCAACGGAAAACCGGCTCCTGCTCGGGGCCGACGCTGGAAAACGACCTTCACCTTCAAAAACCATAACAACGCGAACTCACAGACACCAGGTAAATCATCATACGAAGCAACATGTGCAATTTGCCGTTCCAGTTCTCACAATAACTGCCCCCCCCCTCTTCCCCCCTTACCGCCTTGCATTTGCATCGCCAAGTCTAGTGCCTCCGGCCATTTTGCACTGACTGCCCACGCGCAGGTTGCGAAGGTGTAGCTGATTGAATCCCTCAGGTTTACAAAGGCTGTGCAAAGGCTTCTCCAATCGATAACGCAAGAAAGAATTGAACACCCAATAGGTAGGAGTACTGGTAGGAGTGGGTAGGCGTCAAGGTTGGTGGGACCTTCAGCTGCACAATCCAAGTGACGGAGTGAGGGAGCTCTCAGGCATTCGTGAGAAGAGGTGGAGGGATCTTTGCCACTCCTGGCGGACCGCACGGTGTGCTGCACTAACCTGTTTCTGCACGCATCTCCATTCATATTGTCCGACATGCCCAGCCATAGCTGATAAATGACTATGACAATAGACCACGCAAGAATTTGAGCTCCACCAGAACGCAGAGGCTGCAATCACCCGAGCCTTACCCCGCACACACGCATCCATCACAATGTTGTAGCTGATGAGGCTAATATCCACCTACAGTAATTGAAGGCCGCTTCAGAAAAGTGCAGGCATCCAAGACTTTGCAAGTCAGTCTTGACCATCGGCAAGTGCTACAACCGTCCGACATGTCTTCCGGCACCTGCCATTGTGGCATCTGCCGCAGAATCTCCAGGGCTTGTGGCCAGGCGGCGCCCCTGGTGCAGCTGTTCAAGGCGGCGCCAGCGTTGGGGGCGCCAATGCCAACGCGCGCCATGCCCCTGAGAGGAGAGCAAGGTCACGCAATAGCTACGCTAAAACTTGGCTCCGCCATGCAACGCCTTAATGTACTCCACAATGAGAGGGCATGCGGCCCAGACCAGTAGAAAGAATTACCCAATAATCACTTGTCACAAGGAACACGGTCCACCTTCCACTGTTTCAGCGAGCGCACCCATCGTCCCAATGGAGGTCTTCACATATGTGAAGAAACAGCTTCGGAGCCTCAGGAAGTCGCAGGCATTTCGCCACTGGCTCGCTGCCTCGCAGGCCGCGATGGCCGAGGTGAAGCTGATGTTGTTCCTCAGCTGAAGAGATGCCAACACGATGTTGGGAGTACTGAGACACGCGTGACCGGCATATGCACACAGGGAAAACAAACATTACCTACTTACAGTGCTAAAAAATGCATCCTAAGAGGGAAAGGCCATGACCACAACCACCACCAAAAACCCACAATCAAATGAAGCGAAAAACCCTGATAGAATTCAATTCCTGCCCACTAGGGCCGGCATGCCACATGACATGTTGCCTGAAGGGTGCACTCAGATCAGCACATGGCGGAAAGCATTCTACTAGCATTTTCTTTCACCACGGCATGTAATTACAAGGTTACCCTTTCCCGGTCTTCTTGCATGGTGTAAAACGACCGAAGTCGGAGATTCTCAAGATATTGAAACCAAACATGTAGTGCTCGCAGCTGACGATTTGAGTCTGTGCCCTGAGCATCGGTGCCATGGTCATCTCCTTCCAGAGCTGGATGATGAGTTGCCACTTGGCGCCTGCGAAGGAAGCGTTCGACTTGCGTTCGAAACGACTGAAGCTGCCTGACATCATCAAAGTCACTGAACAATCGTCAAATTTCACCTGCTTCAGCCGCCGCCATCGCTGCATTCCAACCTCAGCGCTGCAAAGCTAATAGAGTCTAAATGTTGGAGTGGCTCACACTTGCATGGACAACACTTTGAAGAAGCTTCATGGCTGCTGGAGCACAGAGGGGCGAAGGAAGGACATTTCTGGGCAAAATGCCGCTACATAATTACTGTCGCACTCTTGGGCCCAGTTAGAGAAAACGAGTGATTTTAAATGTACACTCAGGGCTCACAAGGGCATTTCGTTTCGTCCTGTGAAACGACGTGGGGCTGATGAGGTCGGGTAGGTGCTTCCATTGCCGCAGCTGCCGGAACAGGCTCAATGCTTTCGGCCATTGGCTGCCTGTGGTGCAAGCGCCCATGGCACCAGTGAAGCCTCGAAGTGGCTCGCCCAAAAACGGCTGGGGCACAGGAAAGCAACAGCAGGTGTGTTGTAGCTATGGTGTGCTGGTTGCTGCAAAAGACGGAACACTCATCATGCCAAATGCGATCACCACGAGTATGACCTAATCTCATGCAAAGGCCACAAAATACCAAGGCCCCTATGATCTCCGTCTGAAAAGCTTCGTGTCCAAGTTGCTGATTAAATTAGGATCCATGAGCCTTGAGTCCATTTCGTGCAAGAGCTGCAGGGTCACCTGCCACCGACCAACGCAAGCGTTGATGGCCGCATTAAAACCTCAGGCGTTGCACCGTGTACAGTTTCGGGCGCACGAACTCAGTGATGACATGACTTGGTGATTCACGCCCAGCTGCTGATGGAGTTGGGCTTCGCCTGGGCATTGCAACAACACCTGCTTGCAAGTCCTGCCTGCAGAATGCCTCATGTGCTATAGAAATTTATCATGTGACTATTGTGCAGCCTTGCCAGCCAAGACAAAGGGATCCATGCTCTTCTGGCCAAACGGACTCACCAAATCCCATCCAGGACCGACCTCTTCACACAAAGCTTCCAGCAATTGGAGGCATCGCTGCCATTGGCTCCGGCAAGCACTCATCGCAGTGCTGAAACTCACCACATTGGGGCTCAACCGCCTTAAGGCCAACGCTGGGTTCGGGACCCGGTGATCACCCCAACAGAGTTCGAAAATACGCAGGCCAAGGAGAAAAGGGCATTAGCGCGGCTACAACCCTGTGCGTCACAGCGACCCCGTCGGCGTGCCACAAATGGGATCGCGTGACCCATTTTGCCCTTTCACGCGGGGGCGCTAGTCCCCAGTGAACAGGACCTTGTCCTTTGCCCCAATACAGCCGGGGCCGTTCTGCTTCTACATCCTACAATCTAAATGAACCATGTCCGATATGTAAAATTCCATGGCGGCAGTGAGAGAAAGAATCACAGGCGACAACGCCTCGTTGATGCAAGGCCCAGCACATGGGCTTTGGCCCCGGCCTCTCGGGCATCTCGCGCAAGAGTTGCACCGCCAAGGCCCACTGCTGCGCTTTGGCACAGGCATTGATGGTGGCGTTGTAGATGACCTTAAAGAGAAGCTATTCAATTAGTGCAGCCCTTGGATGGTCCAAGCAACTCTATGTAGTATAAAAATACTTAATTATCTACTCTATATATATATATCCAACCTGACCCCTGACTGACACCCAGCTAAGAAGTACCTTGGTGTGTCCACATGACAAGTGCAACTAGTAGCTCCCTTGTTACTAGTAGCATGCCAGGAGCCCCTAGTAGCGTCGCAGCGTCCTTGTTCCTAGTATTCTTTTAATGTTTCCTTTTATGTCCTTCTGCCTTGGTCCAGCCCCAGCAGCGACATTGGGCAAGGGCACAGCACGGAGCAGTTCGACCGCTTCAGGCCACCTGCGGCTGGTCAATGGTCCCAAATTCTCACCCAAGGGTTGAAGGGTTGGAGGACCTCCGCGTCACAAAGCCTCGCCCAGCGACACTGAAGGACAATGTTCCAAAGTGGCGGTAAGGCCCCTGCTTCAGAGAGGATAAGGCATCACAGTCCAGGTGGTCTCTTAAATGAGAGAGGAAGAGATGTTCGTTTTCTGCTGCTGTTTGAATTGCATATGTCCTCTCCAGTGCCTAGTGGACTTTGCACAGCTGGAGATGGCCACGCCCACCTCATGCTGCTGCAGTCTGCCAGCCTGCCATGTGCCAGCCGACAGATGCTTGTGACCCCCCAGTTCATATGCATCTGACTTTTTGAAGACTGAGTAACAATCTGACGAGTAGTAGTGCTATGGTTATCACAGGGTTGTGTGTACATAGTGATTGCTCTTTCAACTTTGTACAAATGGTCTATAGATGTCCATTCTAGAAGTGGACGTAAACCATTGTGCGATGGTGTCTACATGGACATGCAAGACCATTGACCTGTCACTCTGCATCATTGACATTGATGCAAATAAACCGAGTGTGAGAAACTGGGGCCTTGGATTACCTCCCTTTTGGCAAAAGAATGGCAACTGACTAGGTGAGGTAGAAACAAGCTGGCAACCTTCCCTAATGGTAGCTCCATGTCCCTGTCAAATCCTGGAGACGTCATAGAGTAGAGGGTTTTCTCTCAACTTTATTGCAGTACTGCCCGCAGCCACGCAGCTCTCTTCGCCTTGATTTCTTTCAGCAACTCTGTGGCTTTGGTGAGTTCTTTCCGACACCTGTGCATCTCACAGCATTGGACCCTGCCCTGTAGGGGAATAATTAAGACTTAAGAATTTGAGTATAACATATTATAGAGTTTATAGAGTTTATATATTCAATATTTGATATGATTCAACATTTATATATATATATATTATATATAGAGTTTAACATCTGCGCCGCACCTGGCAAAGGTGGTGACCGCCTTCCGAGTGGTCATCAGGCGTCGCGCACGTCGGGGAAGGCTGCATGGCTAACTATTTTGTTCAGCGCGGTCAGGATCGAAACTTCTCCGATGCGTTTGCGATTTCACGTGTTGTCAGATGTAGCCTAAAATAGACTTAGTTTGATGCTCTGACCTGTGTCACCTGTGACACAAGCTACTCGGTTGTATCCACTGCGAATGTGTTCATTGATGTTTGCCGTGGTGAGGGCTGTAGCAAACTTGGCACACATATCCAAACACCATGTCAACTTAATGACTCTTAATGGACTCCGATAAGCAAACATCAGTATACGATGATCATTTCGTGATGAATGTACAACCAAAAGCCCTTTCTTTTGCAGCCGTTCCTAACATCTTGCACCGGGTGAAATGGTGAAACGGACAGAGTGTGACCTCAACGCCTGACCTGTTTGTCGGAACGGAGGTCAGAAAATGATGTTACAAAGAAACGACTATCCGCACACACGGAATCGTGCGCACCACATGCAGATGCTTTGGATTCAGAAGGGAGGCTCCTGCCAGCTCTGCAGGCGAGTCTACAGGGGAGGGTTCCATGTGTGACCACTCTTCTGAGGAGACTGTGTCACCATCTTGTTTCTCTTCTAAAGGAAGTTTGGGCTCCCAGATCGACAAGAGATGACACACCTTCTCAGCCGTGTTCTTCCTAACAGAGCTCGCAACTGCGTCGTCGATGGTGTTTCGAGGCCTTTGCTGTTCAATGTCCTTGCGCAACTTCCGCAAACGCCGCACAGTCAGCTGTAGTTGTGCCAAACCTTCTGGAGAATCAAGACCTTTTTGTGCCCCTTGCAGCTCCTCTTCTAGCTTGGCCGCACGTGCCGCCGTGTCGTCCGCCTTTCGTCTCAGCTTTGACACCATTCGAGTTCTGGAATTCTGGCTGATGTCATTGGACTTCTGCCAGCGCTTGGAGGCTGCTTGCAGGTCACCCTTCTCATCTTCGAGAATTTGAAGGCATTGCACGAAGCCGTGATTCGGCAAAGCTTGTGGCCGGGCTTTCTTCACCCTCTGCAGCGCCTCCTGCAACTCCAAGGCCTGTCGAAGCATCAGCCACGCAGTGCACACCGCTACGGAGCGACTGATGCCAGAGGCACAGTGCACTAAAACAGCTGGCAACCTAGGCTCCTGAGGCTCAGAGCCCTTCGCTTGCTCTTTTCCAGAGCCTCGCTTTGGCTTTGCTTCGAATTTCTCATCACCGACATCACCGAATTTCTCTTGACGAGACTTCATGATCTTGTCGATCTCCCTCATGGCACTAGGCAGCACGGCCAGCAAGTCGGCACAAGGATGATCCTCAATATCATAAGCACGGTTGGACAATTTGGCATCAGCTCTCCATTCGAGTGACGGATTCAAGCGACTACCAAAGGTCAAGACTCTCACGATGCCAAGCGCTTCCAGGCACAGATTGTCCTGAGCAAAGGCCAAGCTACCGACCCACAGCCCTGGCACCACTTCAGCACCATCATGACTCATCAACGATCCGATCCTCACACGGCCGACCTTCCATGAGGAACGCCCATAGTTTGTTGAATGTTCAAGCGAAGGGGCTCATAGTTTGTTGAATGTTTAAATAGATGTAGGATGATGTAGGAATGTGCAAAAAGCATGAAGCTTAAGTGTCGACCTACCAAAAAAAATGTGGTTTGCACATTAGAAGTCTAGGGGACGTTGATTGAGTGTGGTGAAAGGGCAGTGGAGGTAAGCTATCTGCTGTGCTCAAGCCTACCAAAAGCAACATCGCACCGACAAGTGTGAAGAAAGTACTTCAGGAGCAGCTTCGAGGTCTCTCGCAGCATCTTGGCTTGACAAAACGCACCAAACAGAGCTGAGTTGTTGCGCTTTGGCCACCGCTGCCAAACAAGAGTGAAAAAGAGTTTGGATGAACACCTCCATCCTGGGCTTGAAGCTGTCAATTCAATACAAGCTTGAAATGAGAGAATGACACCTCGGAGGAAGGTTGCTCGCCCTAACTAAGTGGAATGTCATTTGCTGCAACCATCGCAACAAAGCTGAAGTTCAGAATGTCGTCCTCCTGGATCATGCAAACATCATAATCAAATCAGCCCTCCTCTTGGCAGGAAAAAATCAAGTTCTCCTCTTCCTTGGACACCTCCGAGCCTGTGGGCCAGCACAGGCTAAGCACCGGGGTCTGCTTTTGCATGACTGGAAATTTATATATGTGAAATGGTCACCCTGCAAACTAAAGGGAAAGGCGACCAGGTTCAGGTTGTGGAGATTCATGAAAAGTCAGTGGCGCCGCCAAATGCATTGGACACGTCGAGGATTGATTTACTTGAGGGACAATCCTTGGCCGCTAGCCAGAGTCAAATCAACCCCCCTCCATGCTTTGCTGAAGCACAAGGCTATTTTTGGGCATTAAATCGAAGTATACTGTATCTCATTTCAGGCCCCTCCCTGTTCTCAAATATACATCTTTTGGATGAGAGCCCCCCTTAAGCACATGCCGATGGACACTCCGACCAATCCATATCAGGGCCCACAGCTGCCTGGTGGGGCCGCTGTTGGCTCGGTGCCATTGTGCCTCGGTCGAACACCGTCGCCGGCAGAGGAGCTGGTGCCTTACTAGCAAGGGCATCGCTACGAACGTAACAAAGGGCATCGCTACGAACGGAGCAAGGACGCTACTAGTAGCTCTTGGCCTTACTACTAGTTAGCAAGAAGCTACTAGTAGAAAGGTGCCTTAGTAGTATTAGTAGCCAGAAGCTACTACAAAACTCTTGGAGTCTGGATCGCTGCATAGAAGGGAGGAGGAGGATAAGATGGCGTTGACGATCGGTTGGCTCAAGACACTGCCACTTGGATGTTTACCTGATCCTGCAAGTTCAAGAATAAAACACAAGTTTGACATCAGTCGAGGGCCACCTGATCTTTTGCTCTCTGCACTCTGATCTTTGGCTCTCTGAGCATCCCTGCTCATCCAAGCGCCGGCGCTTCCACTTAGCAAAGCGGGGTGGATATGACGGCATCACCAAAAACCAGTGGTCCTTGTTTATCTAGCAGAACTATGCCTAAGACTTCCAAGGGCAATATGCTCCCCTGATCAGGACCCTCAGCACAAGCAAACGTAAACCGGTCCATTGCAGCCAAAGCGCATCACCTCAGCTACATGGCAACCACAACTGTCACGGCTGTTTCATATTCCGCATGGCTACACTGACATGTCAGTCTGAGCTTTCCATGACTATCCATGGCCATCCATTCACCCATATGGCCAATGTACCCCGTGCGAACGCCCCCATGCTCCATCTCTGAGGCTCTCAGCCCTCTTTGGGCTCCGCCGCACCCAGCGAGTCGACCACCTCAAAGGCCTGAAAACGATGGAGGACGCAAAGAGCCACCTTAAGAACATGAGAGACTGCGAGAGTGCTTGAAGCAATGACGAGCAGAAGTTACATCAACCGGCACGAATCTTTTCCACCGCTTCTGCTGAGGACACGCCCCACATCCCAGGCCGCTTGTCTTCTCTTCGGTGCTCGCTTTGCAAGCCCAGGCTGTTTCCAAGCTCTAAGGGTTTTTTGAAGCTCAAAATGGAAGCTGGCCAGTGGGATCCACAAATTTGCTGCGGTTCAGTTTGCACGGCGGCACCTCCTAGAAAATCTGGAAAAGTGTGTCTGGAGACACGCACACGGTTTGAAAATAAAAAGGGAGCACTGGGTGCATACAGAAATAATGCTCTATAGTTCCAATATATTATATATACGTATATGTATATATACACCATGTAATGCCCTATACTTGCTTTTGGAAACCTGAGAGGTAGCAAACGAAAGCTAGGGTCTCTCTTTTTGTTCCGCCCGTGCGAGCTGCGGCAGAGCGGGAGCCCAGCCAAGTTGATTGAAAATGTTTGCGAATGGCCAACTGTCAGAATAACGTGCAAGAGGGTCTAAACCACACTGGTCTAGAGCGCTACTAAACCTATCCCTTTTTGTAATTGTAGTAAATGTCCACCTGCATGCAAATAAGCCCACGGAGCGGCAAATCAGTAGAACTGCAAAACACCAAAGCATCAGACGTAACCGTAGTTCTTTCTGCGAACGTAGTGGGACGACGGCGGCAAATCAGTAGAACTGCACTACACCAAAGCATCAGACATAACCGTAGTTCTGCCAAAAAAAAAGCAATACGAAATCCCTGTATGCTGCACCCTGTCTCTCTCTCTCAGAGTAGAGTAGAGTAGAGTAGAGTAAAGTACAGTGGGCGGCGAGGTTTTTTCACTTTCGTGCTCATGACAAGACAAGCTAGGATAGAACGAGAAAGGAACGATGTTCTGTCGTGCTTTCAGCAAGCACTCATGACAAGACAAGGTGGGAACACCAATCGCAAAAAAACAATACGAAATCCCTGTATGCTGCATCCTCTCTCTCCCTCTCTTTGTGTCAGAAAGTTGGAGTAGAGTAGAATAGAGTAGGGTACAGTGGGCCTTCCGATTGTTTCACGTGCTCACATTCCAAAACCTGTATTTACGATATGTTTTCCAACTTGCAGGCACACAAACACAGAAAAATCCCCCTGCTTTTCACGTTTTCAAACCTATAAACAATCCAATACGAAACTCCTGTCTGCTGCATCCTCTCTCTCTCTCTCTGTGTCAGAAAGTTGGAGTAGAGTAGAATAGAGTAGAGTACAGGCCGGGGGTCTTTCGATGGCTTCACGTGCTCAAATTCCACAACCTGTATTTACGATATGTGTTCCAACTTGCAGGCAAACAAACGCAGAAAAATCCCCCTGCTTTTCACGCTTTCACACCTACAAACACAGTATTTACAATGGTCTTTCCACCCTGCAGGCCAAAAAACATGGTATTTACGATGTTTTCACTCCCGAACCAGCATAACAATCCGACATGTTTCACATCTTCACATTCAAAAACACGGTATTTACCACGCTTTTGCTACTTTCCGGCACCCTAACACAGAAAAAGCATCAAAATCCACCTGCTTTTCCTGTTTATCCTGCTTTCACAGTCAAAAACACGGTATCTACGATGCTTTTCCGACCTGCAGGCTAAAAACACAGGAAAAAACGCTAGATTTCTGACCTTGTTTCACGCTTTCATCTTCAAAAAACATCGGTATTTGCGATGTTTTGTCAACTTTTGACTCAATCAGAATCGCAATCAGCCTCCGCAGGGGCGGAGCAGGGAGGAATCGAAGCCCTACCGTCACCAAATTGCCGCATGATGCATAACCCATCCACACGGACCCTGTAACTCACCCAAAACACCAGCTGACAGCGACTTTTTCTGCCCCGCTGGGCAGCATCTCACCCCCCACACCCCCTTAATCATCTCACTACGTTAGCAAATGAGAACTCAGCAGTCGCCTATCGGCTAGCTTTCGTAAAAGACTCCACCACTTGGAATGGTTCGCATCTCCTGCAAGCTGAAGTTCAGGTTTCCAGGCTGGCCATGCGCTTCGTACCACACCTGTGGCTGAGAAAACGTAACGAAGACTAAACAACTTGACGTTCATGATGAGCCTGGTACTCTTCCAGACTCTTTTCCACCTGCGTCGAGGCTGATTGATGTCGGCGTCACTCGATGTCTTTTGATGACATTCGATGTCACTCCTTATTCAAGGGGTCCTTACAGTCCTTACCTTCTTGTTTTGTTCCGTCCTTTTGAAACTCCAGACATGGGTGTCACAAGGCCGGGCCTTTTGCAGAAACTCGGCACTCTGTGGCGCCATGTGGCTAAGACTGCACACCAACGGAAGCATCGGAAGCTCCAACCATCCAAATAGAAGCGCAGTACATCAGTCCAACAATACTCTGCCACAGGTCATAAAGACCACCGTAAATCCGCGGCTTTTCGTTTTGAATCTTGAAAAGCTTGACACGTGAAACGACGACGGTCTCCTCTCCAAATCGGTGCCCATGATGGTGCGCACCAAGGGCTTCAGGTCATAAGCACACATGAAGCGGCCACTATCCTTACTGATTGCCATAGCCAAAGCAGTGCCATCATGGATAGAAGGAGACAAACTGAAAACATTGGTAAAACCAAGGCAGGCTGTACTTCCAAACTTGTTGGCTCGTCCTTCCTTCTTCAACAGGCTCGCGATCTCGTGGTCTCATGGATGGTCAACAAACGTGGAATCTTGGATGATATCACCACCCCATATCGGGTCACCGGTCATCACCACAGCCTTCATTCTAAACAAGCTTCGTCAAGCTTATGCGCATGAGGCACGCCATCGAGGGCAAAGTTTTGTGTCCGTGCATGCAGCACAGTGCCACCTTCAACCTGATCTGCCGAATCTGACGAAGTTATACAGAAGAATCAACCAGCCCCACATAGAACCACCCCTAGGTGACGCTTGAAAAATCCACTCTCTCTCTCTCTCTCTCCCTCCCTCTCTCTCTGGCAACTTGGAGCCAGGCCTGTAATGCGCCCACCAAGCCTGCGAAGCCACCTCCACCTCCCAGAATGAGAATGTTGGAGGTGGACAAGTGGTCCAGGTCACGCCTAGGAGCGCGATTGAGAGATACGGAACCGTTTTGCTGATGAAATTAGTGTGCTTTAAATCTAAATTATGATCACCTATATTTATATAGCCTATAGCTTTCAAGCCCATTGCCTTCGGTGTGTTTTCTTGCAGCTTCAGTATCCTTTGTGCCTATTGCGCATTGCTTTGGCGCGGCCGCTTTGGGCTTCAGGGTGACAATCGAAATAGATGTTTGTTCTGATTCTATACATTGAGCAAGAACTCCGTGGGAGCATTTTCTTGTTGCTGCTCACAGTCTTGCCACTACACCCACTGGCAGGAGGGCCCGCCCCAGTCTGCACAGGGCATTGAACATGTGGGGAGTCAAAAACCTCGGCCACGGCCGCGGCCGCATCATATACAACCCGGGCTGCTGAGTCGAAGAAGGACCGAAGATATTCAAAGGTTCTAGATCTCCTACCCTTGATCTGCACACCCGTTGAACATCCAAAAACTCTTGAGCACTTTATTCAATCAAGGTACTGATTCGCCGTAGGAGGCTCCGGAAAGTGACCCATGCAGCGGTTGCACCACGTCCTGAGATGTTTTATAAAGAGGTTTGGAACGGTATACACCCACCAAAAATGTATTCCCACAAACACATGCCTTCAGAAAGAGAGAAAAAGCACTAAATAGATAGGAGCAGTTCGGTTTCAGAATGAGAAGTCGCAGTCTGATGGGTTCCTTTCGCAACAGCAGCCTAGGTTCTTGTGGCAGCAATCGCAACAGCAGCCACCAAGCTCAGTCTGCTGCATCTCAAAGGCGTCATCGATTTCAGGCCCCACCGTGCCGAGCACCTCTTCTTGAGAGAGATGCTGCCAAACGGGATACTTCCCACGTGGAACCTCACCAAGCGGCTTAAGCCCGGCTCAAGCGGCTTGCCGGATGAGACTTCAATGGATTTCAATGAAGGTCCTTGTCGTGACCACTTGAGGAATCCAAGGGAAGCACCCCTCGCCTTGTTTCGCACCACTGTCAGGATGTTGGCATTCCCGGCTCCTCGATCGTCATAATAGCAAATGCCTGGGTGCCGCAGTCAAAGAGTCTCGTGTGTGAAGTGCCAGGTAGGTCGATACATTAGTAACAAGGACGGTATTTGGTGGCAGAGGCCATCGCAAGTAGGTTGGGGGCCATCGCTAATTACTAGTAACAAGAAGCTACTATTTTCTTGTCGCAATGTGGCCACGGAACCAAGTGTGCATGCATGAACAATAGATCTACCTCAGGCGATCTGAGATCGCCACCCAGCTCCAGAAAGTAGCCCTCGTTCCATGCGCACTCGCGGATGGCATGCAGAGGGCCCTTGCGTGGATCCTGTAGATGGTATAGGTAGCCAATGTTCTCGTCGTGCCTTGCACGCTGGCTCAAGGAAAGGTCTTGTGGCCAAAACGGCTGGACTGCATAAAGCCAAAAAGGCGTTTCACTACACAGGTTCATTATTCAAGGAACATCGTCTGCAACAGCTTCTGCAGGCAACCAAAGTCCTCAAGTCGACAACTTCATAATCCCAGCACAGGGCCAATTCAGAGGCGAGATGAACAGCACGAAAGGCAAGTAGGTGAACGGCAAGAAAGGCAAAAGGAGTTTTGCATTGAACTGCTCGGTCAGACAAATGCTTGCCCATGGCAAACATGAGGTCTACTATGCCTGTCGGTCCTCGCCCTTCTCTTCCTCACCGACGTAGACTGCCAAGATCCGCCGACAGCGGCGTTGCATCAGCGCCAGGATGCCAGTGTTCTCGATGACTCCCCCATCACTGATGTAGACGCTCCGCGGCGGACGCGGAGACCTTGTGGATGTGAGACGTGAGGTTGGAGGGCTTCGTTGACAAAAACACACCGGAGAAAGGCGGATAAAGTGCTAAAGCTGTCAAGTAGTGCATCCAAAAGGCTGATAGTAGAACATGGTGGCTTGCTGCAACGTGCGGATGAGGGGCGAGTGCTGCAACCACCCTGGGGTCCAGTGCTTCTTCATTGAACATCCCAAAAAAAGAAGATGTAAAAAGAAGTAAAGAAGATCTAATCTAATCTAAACTAAACTGCAACTTCTGACTTGGCATTGCTAATCTCACTCGCACCCAGTTGGAGTGGCCACTTGGGGGCGTCGCTTGAAGTAGCACATGTCTCCAATCTGCCAACGTTCAGCAAGTCGCCTAAACATTTGAAGAATCCAAAGAAGCTGAGAACGCCAAATGCCAGCGCCCACCACGCTGCCACCTGCACGAACCGCTTTGCAGCGAGGCAGTCTCCAGGACGGGCCTCTGGGCCGCTGAAGTAGCTCGCGACCAGCCTCGATGAAAACAGTGAGTGTGGAGCCCCGTTCGTCGCGTCCGATCGCTCCGTTCGTAGCGATGGCCTAGTAGCTCCTAGTAGCTTCTTGCTCCTAGCAGTGAGGCCAGGAGCCCCTAGTAGCTTCTTGCTCATAGTAGTAAGGCCAGGAGCCCCTAGTAGCTTCTTGCTCCTAGTGTGTTTCTCCATTGAGAGTTGTGTTGAAAGTGTGGGACGTGCGTTTCGGAAATTGCACGGAGCTGAGTGGCAAAAGCACATAGACCACCGTGAAGACAAGCACTGCTGCGTGTTTGTGTAGACTCACCCTGTCAGAGGGAGGCGTTGTGCATATGCGGCATGCAAGCAAGACACACCTTGGGCACTCTCCGGCAGAACTGAGGCCCTGTCCATTCTCCGGGCTTTCGGCTGATGGAGACGAAATCACCCATGAAAAGGCCCAAGCCTTCCAACCAAAAGCGCAAGCCTCGGTCCGTCTGTCGACAGGGTCATTCACACCCAGAGTAACAGCATCCGGATTCAGCAACGCAGGGCTAAAATGGAGGCTTCCGCGCTTCAAGCATACTTCAGGCAAAGGAGAGTTTATGCTTGTTAACCGTGCTCATACAGCACCGTTGGGTCAACGGCGGGTCAAATTATCAAGTCCAATGTTCATGGCAGGTGTGGGTCGGTCAATTATCGCGCCGTTTTAAACATATGAAAATCAAAGACTCCCCGGTGTGAAAAATGAGTGCCCACCGTCCCAGGTCGCTCAGTGTAGGACTTTGCGGCCAACGAGGTTGAATTTCAAGGCACAACGTTTGTCTTACCCGTGTATGCCATAACCAACCAGGAGGAGCAAATGAACCACCAAATGTTTGAGATGCACCACTATAAAAGGACTTTGGGCAGCTGATGGTAGATGGTTACAAATCCCGACCAACTATGTTATATAACTGATTCAATTCAGCCATCGGGAATTCGAGGCACGATCATAGCCAGGCCGCTCATTGAGTCGTCCTTCCTCCCCATGATGAAGCCGTCAATTGCCCCTCCGCTTAGTGCAGCTGTGCGGGCCAAGGGCCTCTGCCCATATGCCAGGAAGTAGCCCAGACGTGATCCTCACGGATGTCATCCAGGTGAACAAACATGAACAAACACGGTCAGCATATGTCAGCATGTCAGCCTATGAGATGCATTGGAATGGTCTGGATCAAGGACACGTTCAAAAGCACCGTGATGCAAAAATGGTGTAAAACCTTAGAAACATTTAACATCAGTCCAACTGTCTTGCCCCTGGAAACTGCAACTCAACTCAATCTGTTGGTGGGATTGTTGGACGCAAAGCATACCCGCAATAGAAGAGGACACCATGCCTCCAGCAAAGAGCTGGTTGAAGGTCATGTAGCTGAAGGGCGTGGTGTCCCCCAACTGGCCAGCGCTGTGGCTGGGGCTGTCGCCGATCCACATCAGAGGTGTAGAAAGGAGTGGACCCCCTCATTGATGGTTGTTCACATGTGGCAACGTTTCAAAGAGGCATTGCTGGAAGTTCTACCCATGTTGAGACGCACCCAAATGCTGGCATCATGTCTGAGCAAGACATGTCCGAGCAAGATACACACTGAGATAGAAGTCCTTTTGCCTGGCAAAGGAATATTGACCACCTGAAACAAACACCGAAAGACCCCACCTGCGGGAAACAAGAATCCAGGCCTCTCCCTATATGATACTCGAACCATCAAGAACAAGAACCAGGATTGTACCAGCTCCTCTGGGAGCAAATCCTGAGGTTTGAAGCCCAACTCAACAAGTGCTCTGCCCAAACGCGAGCCATTCCGGCATACCCACCAAAGGATTGTCAACTAGCTCAACCAGCAAGTGTGAATCTTCACAACAATCTATAGGAGCAAGGACGCTACTACGGGCTCCTGGCTTTACTACTAGGAGCAAGAAGCTACTAGGAGCAAAGGGCATCGCTACTAGCAACAAGAAGCTATTAGAAACAATAAAGAGCCGAGGTGGTTCCACTGCGCACCTGCATGTAGTCATTCACAGTGGCACTGACCAGCAGCATGGGGCAGTAGATACACTGCCTGACGTCTGCCCAGGTGCAGTTCTCCCCCTTAGCATAAAAGGCACGATGCAAGCTCCGGGAGTAGTAGCGATGCCTTAAGTCAAGCAGCAGTCCAAGCAGCAGTCAAGCAGCACAATCCAAAACAAGAATACCATCGAACGATGTGGGTCCTTTGCATCAAATGGGATGCTTGGGGCGAGCCGTGCCTACCTCTTCCAACCCAGCTGCATGAAAGTTCGCAGGAAGCGAGAGTAGAACATGCCAAGGATCGCCAGCACCAGACCTGTCTGCACCAGCCTGTGCCACACGTGGCGGTCCAGGGCACATCCGAAGTAGTGCTCCTGGCACGGCAACATAGAGAACTCATAGATGGTACGCTTTACACATAGGGGAAGAATTTGACGGCCCATGAAACCCCGACAGCAAGACTACACGATTCCAAAATAATTTGTCACTGATCGGTGGCAGTACATTTGCACACCGTGTTTCTGCCATGCTCTTGTTGACTTCTCTCCTCAGTGATGGCCCCCAACACTCGGAATTGCACCAAGAAGAATGTAAACGCAAACCTGAGGAAGCACATGGCTCGAAGCAAGGAGAAGAAATTCCCTGGCTCAGCTCAGCTCTGCAAAAGTGTGCCCGA